TGAGGTGAGAAGCCGAATAAAGTGATTTCCCGCTGCTGTTGTCACTCTGGGTCGTCCACTGCGATGTCGGTCTTCAACTAAACCAGTGTCTTGGAACCGGTGCCAAAGTCGACTGATGGTACTCGGATGCACGTTTAGAAGCCTGGCAACCTGAATTTCTCTTGTCTGCAATCGGCCAATAGCAATATTCCTTATATTTATCGATAGAGACGCCATTCGTGACTGCTTGAAAATCCTTATCCTTTTATTGGGTTTCAATTGCATAGGCAGTGAATAGTGTTCGACGCAAATTGTGTATGCTCATAAATATGGTCTTAAATACAATCGACCACTGGTTGTAAAGATTATAAAAACCCACGCAATTCACGCCCACATGTCCACTGGAAACAGTAATAATATGACCCAAGCTACTGTTTGAACAGGATTTCTGGTGATCCTTATCCGAATGGTGGCACTTTGTGTCACCAAGTGTTTTATCGCTCGGTGTGATGTCCTGGTGGTCTTGAACATCATCATCGAGTACAATAAGCCTTCAGAATCTCCCCCAATATGAGGCACAATTTGTTATTTTCATCCGAATGGTGGCACTTCATGTCGCCGTGTGTATGTCGCCTATTGTGCTGTTGAACCTCACTCACTCGACTACAATTGTGGAAATACATCTGAGAAGGTGGAGTTTTCTGTCGAGGATGGGTAAATGTCAGCTTGGCAGCTGCTTCACCGACTGACTGACATTCAACCGCACCAGAACATCACACTAAGCGATAAACACTCGGTGACACAAAGGCCACCATGTGGATGAGGATTACCCGTGGAGAGGTCACAGAAACCCCGTTCAACCGTCCGGTTATATTAGGGCCCCAGGCAACAACCAGAGTGGGGATTCAAAATAACGAAACATTCATCCCACATAGACATTTCCTTAATGTTTTCCATAAGTAATATGCTTTCAGATGTCCTAGAAAGAAGTCAGATCACAAACTCAACATTAGTTACACTGGAAATAGGACATAACCACCTTCAGATGACATCACCCCCTGCTAGAATGAAATGTGCTTAGACTCGCACTAATTAAACAACTGGTTAAATGTAAACTGCCGCGGATCAGATCTTGGTCGGACAAGGAAGGGCTCATAAACAAAATGTGAGGAATGATTCTTCATACGCGTTTTTGATTCCTGCCTTGTCTACCTTGCTCAGGATTTGGGCCAGACCCCATCCTCGAGGCTGGCGTCCGCCTCGTGTGCTGGAGGCCCTGGTACAGGCTAGTTTTTTTTTTTTTATTCACGTGGACTTCTAGTAATTTCCTCTGGTCTCCGGGTAGTAGGATCTGACGCCCGTGTGTAGTATTGCCTATGTAAAAGAAATCCCTAGGCAGTTAGAAATTAAAAAGAGTAAAATGAAAAGAGTAGCTTAACGACGCTGCCCGGGCAAAATTTGGAGTTAAAGGTCTACCCAAAGTATTTCGGCATCCTCGCCGGTATAACGGGGTCCGTGCACTGAGCTAAGAACCTTCGTACTCAGGCTTGAGTTAGAAATAGAACGGAGCACTCATGAGTGACTACGTTGTGCCATGATGTTGATCAATTGTTAAAACCTTTAACACCTTGCAGAAAAGTGGAAAACTGAAGAGAAACCAGGGGCAGAGAGGCACCAGCTGATCAAGAAAGGTCATGCATGCTCGGACAATGTGGTGACATGCACATATGACTCTGACGATGTGATTACATGCACATATGACTCTGACGATGTGATGACATGCACATATGACTCTGTCGATGTGATTACATGCACATATGACTCTGACGATGTGATGACATGCACATATGACTCTGACAATGTAATTACTTCCACATATGACTCTGACTAAGTGATTACATGCACATATGACTCAAACGATGTGATTACATGCAAATATTACTTAAACGATGTGATTACATGCATATATTACTCTGACGATGTGATTACATGTACATATGACTAAAACAATGTGATTACATGTAGATATAACTCTGACGATGTGATTACATGCACATATTACTCTGACGATGTGATTACATGTACATATGACTCAAACAATGTGATTACATGCATATATGACTAAGACGATATGATTACATGCACATATGACTGACAATATGATTACATGCACATATGACTCTGTCGATGTGATTACATGCACATATGACTCTTACGATGTAATTACTTGCACATATGACTCTGACTAAGTGATTACATGCAAATATAACTCAAACGATGTGATTACATGCAAATATTACTTAAACGATGTGATTACATGCATATATTACTCTGACGATGTGATTACATGTACATATGACTAAAACAATGTGATTACATGTAGATATAACTCTGACGATGTGATTACATGCACATATTACTCTGACGATGTGATTACATGTACATATGACTCAAACAATGTGATTACATGTACATATGACTAAAACAATGTGATTACATGTAGATATAACTCTGACGATGTGATTACATGCACATATTACTCTGACGATGTGATTACATGTACATATGACTCAAACAATGTGATTACATGCACATATGACTAAGACGATATGATTACATGCACATATGACTGACAATATAATTACATGCACATATGAATGACTTTGTGATTACATGCACATATGACTCTGGCGATGTGATTATATGCACATATGACTCTGACGATGTGATTACATGCACATATGACTGTGACGATGTGATTACATTCACATATGACTCTGACGATGTGATTACATGCACATATGACTGTGACGATGTGATTACATTTACATATTACTGTGACGATGTGATTTCATGCACATATGACTGTGACGATGTGATTACATTCACATATCACTCTGACGATGTCATTACATGCACATATGACTCTGACTATATGATTACATGCACATATGACTCTGACGATGTGATTACATGTACATATGACTCAAACGATGTGATTACATACACATATTACTGTGACAATGTGATTACATGTAGATATGACTCTGACGATGTGATTGCATGCACATATGACTGACGACGTGATTACTTGCACATATGACTCTGACAATATGATTACATGCACATATGACTCTGACGATATAATTATATGCACATATGACTGACTTTGTGATTACATGCACATATGACTCAGACGATGTGATTACATGCACATATGACTCTGACGATGTCATTACATGCACATATGACTCTGCGGTCGATCCAGCACATCTAATTCCAACAAGCCTCTAATTAGTTAGCTCTGACGACGTATTTGTTAAATGACAACAGGTCTACTCCCACACACGGCCTGCGCTGACAACAGTTCCCCGAAAAAGTACGCTGAAACCCCCAAGAATACTATCCGCTGTTATGAGTATCCGTGACAGATGCTGTCATAGTGCTATCTTGTTTATCGAAATTAATGTGTTTGTGTGTTGAGGGAAACTCCCTGAAGAAATTCGGTCAGTATCTAAACATTGATTGTCCTATTTTTACCCGAAACTGTTGATACTGAGTGTCAGCTTGGAGATAAAACTGACGTCTTCAAGGTTAATGCTTTATCACTAGTACACAAATGCTTTATCACTAGTACACAAATGCTTTATCACTGGGACACACACAAATTGGATTATTAACTAAGGGCAGTGTATCCGTGTATATTTAAGGCGAAAAATAGAATTTATTTAGTTACTAATCCGGTTATCTACTTGTGAGATGCTTTCGTTATTTGAAGCCTCATCCTGGCTTTTGCCAGGGGCGGCAATATAGTCCGACAATAAATATGATCTAATGGCTGAACGCGGTTTTTGGGACCTCTCCATGGTGATCCTCATCCACATGGTGGCATTTTGTTTCATCGGGAGTTTATCGCTTGTGTGATGTCCTAGTGGGGTAAAAATCTACTACTACTAGTAGTTAATGTAGGTGTCATTGCCACCGAATGAGAATGAATATAACGACACAGACAGCGAAAGTGTACAGTAGGGACATAAAAACACCAAGATGTAGAGGCAGATCGAAAATAATATGGATTGAATGAGTCACTGATAACTTTAGACTTCACACTATACCTAGCTAGCTATCACGCAGTGCTTTGACTGTCTGTTATCAGTTGATTAACGGCGACGCCTAACGGTACAAGGAAGATGACATAAACAATTGTCATCATCATCATCATCATATGCCTAGCCGACTGGCGTTGGCGATGGTGCCAGTCCACAACTTGCAATCTTCAGCAGCATGTATCAGTTTCTATGCATATCAAAAGGCAGCCAAGAATCTTCTTTCGTTGTCTTCCTGTCTCTTTTCTCATAACATCTGTTGCTCTTCAATAACTATATGACTGGTTTCAGTCCTATCTTCGCCTAATTTCCTCACTTGTAATGTTCGCTCTTCTTCTTACTCCGGCAACTCTTTAAACAAATTTCATCTTTATTTGTATGATACTTTTAGCAAGAGGCCATGTTTAACACGTGTAGCATCACTATGTCCGTTTGTTTTTCTCAGATCTGCATTTTCTCGTCTGTCTATTTTAAACAATGACTGACTGTCAATATCTCCCGTGTAAACTTTTCTTGCATCTATTTCAAGCAATGATTGACTGTTAGTATATCCCCTGTTCACTTTTCTTGCATCTATCTCAAGCAATGATTGACTGTAAACATTACCCATATACCCTTTTTTTGTATGTATGCCAAACAATGACTGTACACATCTCCCGTGTACACTTTTCTTTCTTGTATCTATCCCAAGCTGTGACTGACTGTAAATGTCTTCCATGTACCCTTTTCTTGTATCTATTCCAAGCTGTGACTGACTGTAAATGTCCCATGCTGTGACTGACTGTAAATGTCCCAAGCTGTGACCGACTGTAAATGTCCCAAGCTGTGACTGACTGTAAATGTCCCAAGCTGTGACTGACTGTAAATGTCCCATGCTGTGACTGACTGTAAATATCTTCCATGTAAACGTTTCAGGTTGGGGCCTCCTTGTTCAGCAGTAATATAGGAAGCGAGCACTTTGTTGGTCTGGCCGGTACAGGAGCTGCTTCTGGCATCGCTATGGTCTTGTATGAATGGAACGTAAGTAGCCACCTTCTGGCATCGCTATGGTCTTGTATGAATGGAACGTAAGTAGCCACCTTCTGGCATCGCTATGGTCTTGTATGAATGGAACGTAAGTAGCCACCTTCTGGCATCGCTATGGTCTTGTATGAATGGAACGTAAGTAGCCACCTTCTGACATCGCTATGATCTTGTATGAATGGAACGTAAGTAGCCACCTTCTGGCATCGCTATGATCTTGTATGAATGGAACGTAAGTAGCCACCTTCTGGCATCGCTATAGTCTTGTATGAATGGAACGTAAGTAGCCACCTTCTGGCATCGCTATGGTCTTGTATGAATGGAACGTAAGTAGCCACCTTCTGGCATCGCTATGGTCTTGTATGAATAGAACGTAAGTAGCCACCTTCTGGCATCGCTATGATCTTGTATGAATGGAACGTAAGTAGCCACCTTCTGGCATCGCTATGGTCTTGTATGAAATAGAACGTAAGTAGCCACCTTCTGGCATCGCTATGGTCTTGTATGAATGGAACGTAAGCAGCCCATTAGCGCGTGATGAAAAATTCCACTGCTGATCATTCAAATAGTCGTTACCAGTGTATGATATTTCGTAAGCTTGTTACCCTCGGCACTTTTACCTTTCCTGTTGATGTGTCATCGTATCCATACCATAGCCTGGTTAATAATCCATACCATTAGCCTACTTTATTATCTATACCATAGCCTGTAATATATTAAAGCTGGATTACACAGCATGTTCATTTAAGAATGCGAGCTGTTTTGTTTTTCTTTTTTAACAGCTCAGTTTACTTACAACTGCAACTGAGTGGTTGTGATGGCTTTGTTGCAAAACAAGCTGCACTTACCCTAGATGTTTCTGACATGGTTGCCTTGACTCAGCTGTCTTCCTTGCTACATTATCGCCTTTCTCGGCATAAGGTTGGGGCCAGACGACGATACAATCCCTAGTGTAAAACTCGTTAGAGGAGACAGCCAACACAAAACCTGATACCAGTCAGTGAGTTTGTGCTGCCCTGAAATATGGCCTGGTTACATATTGTATACTTCTGTGTAAAAGTGAAGTGTCAATACCTGTCTTCCACTTCGGACTGGTTTCTAGGCTTAGCCAGGGAGAAGGACTTCTGCAACATCTAAATGAAAATAGTTATCCAAACAACAGATCATTTCCCTGAATATCCAACAGATATTCACGATGCCGCTTTTGTTTGTTACCCAGTTAGCAGTACTGGATCCAAACGGACTGTTCTGGGTGATCACGGAAGCGATCATCTGCCATGTTAGGTATTGATCTCCAAATCCAGTAAAGTCGAGGCTTCAAAAGCTCGTATTCTTTTAAGTGTGAGCGGATAAACACCCTTCTTGGACTCCTCTGACAGAGGGCGTGGAAGAAGAATATCAGATCTTCTTTTGTGCAGCCTCCATGGTGGAAATCAGAGGTAGAACAGGCATGGAAGTTAAAGAGAGCTGCAGTAAAACGAATAAAGAAAGTGCGACAAACATCCATAAGCACGCAGGAGGAATTGGAATGCGCGGAAAGAGATAACAAAGATAGGATAGAGGTTTTCAAGCGTTGTGCAGCAGAAGAAAAAAAAACGGGAACATTTTAATAAAGAAATTGCGGGCGATATGATTTTAGGAAAATTTTAAAAACTACAAAGACTGATGCTCAAGAAAAATCGGCCTAGCTTAGTGAAAACAATTCATAGAGACGATGGCATGCTATTGACCACAGACAAAGGTAAGGTTGAGGTTTTCCTGAAAAGGTTCATTTCACAGAGACCACGAGGATGGAGACAACAGAGATGCAGTTATGTCAGCCGCATAAAGAATAAACATTATGAAGACATCACACTGGAGGAAGATGTAAAACATGTTCTGAAACTAGTGAAAGAGACTGCACCCGGCCTGACGGGGTCAGATATTTTCATTTGAGGGACATGAGTGATGCCGAGCTGTTGGAGATGACTGCCTGTTTCAACCAGAGCATTAGGACAGCTTCAGTTCCACAAGAGTGGATGCACAGCTACCTGATTATATTTCCTAAGCCTGGCAAGGATCAGTCAACACTCAGTGGCTTTAGTTTAGGATCATAACCTTACAAAACACTTTTAGCAAAGTGCTGGAGAAAATAGTGGCGGGTAAGCTACAAGAATTTTTGGAGCAGAGAAAGCTCCTTTCAAGAGGTTTGGGAAGTTATTGGCCAGGGAAGAATACATGGTCAAATGCAGCCACTTTTACCTTTGACGCTTTCGAAGGTTTCCAGAAGAGACAGGAAACGGTGGCAGAGCACTCGATTTAGAAGATGCCTACAAAAGAGTCAGATACAATATCTTGATGACAGCGCTTATGGAGAATGGAGTCTGTCCTTGGTTGGTGAACTAGACAGCAGCTGTTTTGTATTCTCGTCGGTCGGGTAGCTCTCCGCCAGGGTTAATGAACCTCCGAACCATGTATGATAGCTCCAGGACAACCACAGGGATCTGCAATTTCACATGTGCTATTCTATGTGTTCACGAGCCAGATTGCGGAACTGGAAACACCTGGAGTTGGTTGAATACTGACATTCACATATGATATTCTCGTATATAGGCAGCGAAGAGACTGGAATCAAACAGCTGAAGAGTTACAGGTGACAGTAGATAAGGTGATACTGGTGTACAGAGATGAGTGCGGTAATCAACTTAGGAAACAGTCAACCGTCCTGTGGTGTTCTTTGGACAACAGGATTGATAGAGCTGATGTCCCAAGCCTCAAAATAATTGGCAGGGACATCAAGAGCGACAGTAGACTGCAGTACCTGGCTAGTACCTTTGACAGTAGCTTGTCTTTCAAGGATCACATAGAGGTGGTTGTGACAATGGCTCAAACAGGTCTTAATCACTCAAGATTATGGCAGCAATGGACATAGAGAAAAGAATGCTGTTCACCCTATACCAGCACTCAATAGTCTCAGTGATTGATTATGGATTGGGTTTGCTCACTGTCTCGAAGAGTCAGCTAGAGAAACCTCAAGCGCATCCATAATGAAGCTACGCGGCTGATACTGGGATGTACAAGAGACACCCCGATTGCGTGCATACGATACATCCTTGCATTGCCGACGTTTGCAGATAGGCTAAAGGTGTTGCAGGCTAATTCAAACCTCAGAGTAGCTGCAGATAAAGGGCACCCTCTGTATGTATGCTTTGGATGCAGTTAAGCATCAGGGGCTGAAAAGCTGGAAATCGTGGATGGCTCAAGCAGAAGACACAATAAGACAAGTATGCATGCTGATGAACATTAAGCGAGGAGAGGAGTGGGTCAGAGTACCAGAGGAAAAGTCTAACCTATGAAGGGTCATTATCACATTAGGCCGAGAATGCAGAGAGTGGTCGGAGGGGGCTACTTAGGTGGAAGTCCAACAGGTGACTCACGACAATTCTCGTCCTGATGATCTGATATCTACACAGATGTTTCAGTAAGAGAAGTGCTTGGGGTTTCCCAGCCAAAGGCATTGGAAATTCTTTAGTGCAGGATAGCCTGGCAAATGATACCACGACAACTAGCATGAAAATGGAGGTGGAGGCGGTCACTGCAGCTTGCCGGTGGCTAGAGAACAAGATACATACACATGTCATAATTGTAACGGACTCTAAAAACATGCTGACAAATGTAAAGACAGGAGGCTTAGAGCAGGGTGGCAAGCTTCACTTGCAATGTCACAGGTAGTGATCATACTTTGGATCTTTTCTCCAAGTTATGTCGGCGTGGTGAATAGGCAGATAGACTGGTTGGATCTGCACCGCTGGGTGGTGAATTGATGCATGGCAAAGCAGATGTGGTCAGAGCCCTTTGGGAACAAATAGCGAGGTCAGAAAAGAAACTAAATTAATATGGGCTGGAGAGAATGATGCACCTGAGTGCGACCAGAGGTTTCAGCCGGCACACTACACTCAAAGGAAAGGCGAGACGGACATGCAACCAGACTACGACTGGCAGAATTCGTATTGGAACTCTGCGCTGGCTGCTGAGGATGGGGACGGAGCGCGTATCTGAATGTCCAGTGCTGTCAAGTCAATTCTCAACTCAACTCAAGCGGCTCTTAAAACAGTTTAAGTTAACTGTTATAAAATTTTTTGCTTGTGATTAAACAAAATTCGTCAAAAAAATTGCTTTATTCAGATCTGATCTTCTGAAATATCCATGGAATTATATGCAAACCACTTTTATTTATGTATTTATTTATTTTGCTTCTTTATTTATTGATCCATTTTACTTATTTATTTATTCAAATGTTTTATATTTCTTCCCAGTCAATATTTTCAGGCAACCCACTTCCCCATTTTATGGTTCTGTAATATAGCCCTTTGTGTCAAAATTTTCTCTTGACTGTGGTCGTTTATAGGCATTGTTGTCTAGTCTGATGCTTTTTTTTTTTAGTAGTCTGTTGATAAAGACTTTGGATGAAACTTATAGTTGTATCATAACACAGTTTTCTTGTTTCATCCGTTTAGCTTTCTGGTCTCATTTTGCACTGTATTTGTAACACGCACGCACTCATGCTCACACAAACACACACTCACACCCACATATACATACACATTTATCAGCTGGACTACAGTCACTTCATTTTTCAAACCAGCACATTAGCCAACCAATCAACTATCCAACCAATCAACTATCCAACTAGTCAACTATCCAGCCAATCAACTATTCAACCAATCAACTATCCCACCAATCAACTATCCAACCAATCAACTATCCAGCCAATCAACTATCCAACCAATCAACTATCCAACCAATCAACTATCCAGCCAATCAACTAACCAACCAATCAACTATCCCACTAATCAACTATCCAACCAATCAACTATTTAACCAATCAACTATCCAACCAATCAACTATCCAACTAATCAACTATCCAGCCAATCAACTATTCAACTAATCAACTATCCCACCAATCAACTATCCAACCAATTAACTATCCAGCCAATCAACTATCCAACCAATCAACTATCCAACCAATCAACTATCCAGCCAATCAACTAACCAACCAATCAACTATCCCACCAATCAACTATCCAACCAATCAACTATTTAACCAATCAACTATCCAACCAATCAACTATCCAACCAATGTTCTAATTAACTAAGTAACCAACCAAGTTGAAATGATTATTCCTATATCCCCATACAACCAACAACCTAACGACCAAACTTGATGCCGATAAGTTGTTCTTCGTGTACTTTGAAATACTTCTTCCGTTTCTGTTTAAACGTTCGCTATCAAAAGGGTCTTTAGGTTGCCTTTCAGGACAGACTTTTAAGGGACCGGTGGGTCTACCCTCCCCTTCCCCCACGCCGTCGCACAGGCACTTGAACTCACCCACTGATCTGGCAGGAACTGTCTCAGAAGCCAGAGAAAAAATACAAGGCATGGAGGTTTATTGTGTATGCAGGACCTGGATAACAAGTTTGCACAATCACTGTGTCAGGATTCATGATGGGTCACTTCTATCTTGGCATCTTAATGTTCTAACGCTTGCAAACCTCGTGTCATGTGCATCAAACACTGTGACAGATTGATGAGTTTTCTGTACTATTCTGGATTACTTTTTTACTGTATTGCTATGGCAATATAAAAATGTTGATGGTGACATAAATGGGAAGATAAGACCCGATTACACGGGTTATGAAGAGATTATGGAAATACACAGATGAAACATAATATACAGGGAAAAAGAATTATTTACCAACGTTGGGGCGGGGTACCAAGCTGCTGTAGACAAAAACATTTCCCCACATGGGAACAGCAACATGGGAATCGTCGATCTGAAAACAACAAATCAAAATCGATTATGTTTAAAATAAATACAAAACAGACTCAAGAGATAACCGATATTTGACGATCACAGAAACCAAGATGAGAAAGGATTTCCAAGGAGTAAAGAATTACAGAACTGACAGTGATAGTCTGCAATAAGTGTGAACACTGCAACAGTTAGCCGAGGACATAGCCCACCCCCACCCCCACCCTCCTCCACCTCCTTTCCCCCTCAGAGGGAGAGCTGTCTCAGCCCCGACCCCCGATAATTTAAAAAAAGACATATATAGAAAGTCCTACAATATTTTTTTTCGAATTTCATATTATTTTAAACGTATTATTAAATTTTTTTGCAATTCACCATATTATTATTTTTATTATTATCCTTATATTCGTAAAATAGGATTAGCATCTTTGTTTGTTATATTGTCATCCCTTTGTGCGATGCAATTTTTCGTTTTTTGAAGCCCCACCCTGGCTTATAACGGGTGCCGTGAATATAGCTAGGCCACAATTATGGCCATAACGGCAGAACGGGGTTTCTGGGACCTCTCCACGGGTGATCCTCATGGTGGCACTTTGTGTCACCGGGCGTTTATCGCTTGTGTGATGTCCTGGTGGGGTACAACAAGCAAGCAAGCAAGTAGCATCTTCCCCTCTAGGTTTCCCTCCCTTTTTTGCTTAGATAGTATGTATGGTGGAAGAGGCAGAAGGCCAATATTTCTTTTAATGCATCTCCTCTTATTTTCTATTTGCTGGCACGCCTGCAATTGCAACAGGTTACAGAAACTTGGAATGAATCTTCGGTGAGTGTCCTTGAAAACTGGGATCATAAACATGAGGCGTAGATAAAACCCAAACACTTTAGCAGCAGTGTAGAAATTAGGAAAGGATAAAATCATCATCCTCATGATGAGATGAAACCCGAAAACTGTAGCAGCAGAGTAGAACATAAGAAAGGATGAAAGCATAATCTAAAATCACTGGGGCTGTCAGAGTTGATGATAAATACACAGAAGCTAACAACGACGTTAGCAGAAATTCAGGAGCGGACAAATGACAATGTTTGCAAAAAGGGGTAGTACAACAGCGACGTTTACAGTAACACAAGGAAATTAGTAGGACAATATAATCAAATAAGGGGATCGACCTAAAATTGTAAAGAGATAGTTCTCATCAACACTAAAATCCTTGCTGCCTTCCGCTGGCTTGAGAATCAGCTTTACACACGTGTTGTAATTGCAACTGACTCACAGACCATGTTGAAAAAGTTTTAGACAGGCATGCTCCGTGCAGAGTGGCAAGCATTGCTTCAGAGGTACAGGGTAGTTAGCGTCCAACTTATATTTTCTTCACCAATGTCGGAGTGTTGTGAAACGAACAGGCGCATAGACTGGCCGGTTCTGCACCACTTGGCAGTGAACTGATGTATGACACGCTTGATGTTGGGGGTCCTTTGGAAGCGAGTTAACAATGCGGAGGCATAAATAGAGCATTACGGTCTGAGAAAAACAGCGCTTCGAGAAGTTCCACGGAATCTGGCAGACGCTCAAAATTAAAGGGAAAAGGCGAGACGGATATACAATCAGTTACTGGTGCCACCGAAATTGGAACCCTTTGCTTGCTGCTAAAGATGGGGACAGAGCGATTATGGTAGTGCCCCGAGTGCTGTGATGTCCATTTTTTAATTAACATTAAAAAAATTCAACACTAAAAATCAAATAGATAAATGCGAAGAAGACGTTTGGAATAGACCAGCCACAAAACTCTCGTCAAAAATAGAATTGGATTTCTACAATAAAATAAGTTTTAATAAAAACAATTATAAAAGTTAAAGTATTCGGAAAGAATGGGAAAACTGCACGTTCTAGTAACATCATAGAGCAAGCTATTAAGGTCAATACAGGCACAAATAAGAATGAATACTACAAACTGTATATTGGTATTTGATAACAATTGATGACTCTTGATTACTTTCAGTCCATGTTTCTGGTTATACTACTGGCCTGGCTATTTGTCCCAGTCTATGTATCAGCAGGGGTAAGTCTGTGGTGATGTCTGTCATCCATGTACTGCTAACATTGTGTTGACTACTACCTTAGATGTTTTTGTATGACTTATGGGAGTGTATATCATTCGCATTCCTACGATGGGCCAACCAATAGGTTATCAGTCTTACTGAACATATAATAACTGAAGTGACTGCGAAGGAATAGATACTTCAAGAATATATATATATATATATATATATATATATATATATATGTGTGTGTGTGTGTGTGTGTGTGTGTGTGTGTGTGTGTGTGTGTGTGTGTGTGTGTGTGTGTGTCTTGTTAAATAAAAAAGAAAAGAAAGAAACTCAAAGTTATCCTATGGCGCATATTTATTTGTTTTTGAATAAAATATCGTACTTGGGTATGTGAAAAGCAGACTCAAATGTTCTTTACCGTGTTCAGTGGACATGTGGGCCTGAATTGTGTGGGCTTTTGTCATCGTTACAACGCAATGGTCAATTTAAATAATGCGGATACAAACAATACAAACAATGGTCAGTTGTCTTTGAGACCATATTTGTGTGCAAAGCTCCTGATGCGCGCACGAGAAAGCAACACAATTTGGGGTGAACACTATTTACTGCCTGCGTAATTAACACGCTTTAAAAATAAAACTACACCAAAACATTCAGTTCATTTTCAAGCAGTAACGGATGAAGCCTCAATCGATAATTTAAATTATACTGATATTGGCCGACTGCAGGCAGGAGAAAGTCAAAGTCAGGTTGCCTGGCATTTAAACTTGCATCAGAGTACCATCAGTCGACTTTGGCACCGGTTCCAAGCCATTGGTTTAGTTGAGGACCTACATCGCAGTGGACGACCCAGAGTGACAACAACAGAGGAGAATCGCTTTACTCGGCTTCGTCACCTCAGAGACAGGTTTACAACAGCTTCCTCAACTGCGTAGGCCCTTCAGGACGTCATGTGTCTGATCAAATAGTTCTGAAGAGACTGCGTGACAGTGTGGACTTTGGGCTCGACGAACACACCAAGAACCTGTCCTTACGCGTTGTCACTGCCAAAATCGAATTTTTGTGTGTGGCCAATCAGCATCGTCACTTGGCAGGTGTCTTTTTCAGTGACGAATCTTTCTCTTTGTTGCAGCGTCGTGATAGACGGTATGGAGTATACAGTAGACGAAATGAAGGTTTAGTCCAACATTGTGTTGCTGAAGTCATGTCTATCCACAACCTTCTGTCTCGTGTATTTTCAATCAACTCTGCCACAGATGATCTTTCATGACATGATGTCAAACTGTCCAGCAACTGCTCTCTCGGTCTCCCTCTGCCTCTCTTCCCTTCCGACTTCTCCTCCAGTCTATTGCCAGTAAAAATAGGAAAAGAGACAAAAAACATCACTGTCGCACATCTGTTTGTATTTCAGATCTATCTGTTAACTTTGCTTCATGAAGAGAACATTTCATGTTTTGTGTATGTTGTCTTTACTAAGTTAATAATTTTTTGTGGGATCCATAGTGACTCATTAATTTCTGTAACTGAAAACTGTTCATTAACTTTCTTATCCCTGAGATAACCTACATTATACTTGTTTTATGAATATAAGATGTTATATGTTTTGTTAAGTGTTGACTTGATTTTACTTCCTATTCTTTCTACTGCTGTCATTATCTGCTTAAGCTTATGCTTATGCTAGGCGTCGCAGTTAATCAGACGATTGGCAGCCAAACCAAGGCGCGCTCGGTCGCTTGATATGCCATAATGTTATGCAGTCTCAAGTTGTCAGTGACTCCTTCATTCCATCTTCTTCTTAGTCGTGGTGTTTTGATTTTCAGGTTGTACGTTCTCGTTGCTTGCATCGTTGGTTTCATTCTCATTAAATGCAAACTATTTCCTTCTGTGATTTTACTGACCAATAGAAGATGGTCAGTAAAAACATCGGCACCTCTGAAAAGCCTAACATCGTAAAGGGATGATCTAATCTTTTTGTTTTTGCATAGGTGATCAATTCAATTGGTTGTCTTAAGGTCCGGTGATTCCTATGTTGCTTTGTGTATACTTTTATGTGGGAAGATGCTTCCATCAACAACATACTGGTTTCCTGCACACAAATTGGTGAATAATTCTCCATTTTCATTCATTACTCCTAGTCCATGTTTTGCCATAACCTCTTCACAACCCGTGTTATCTGATCCTATCTTAGCATTTAGGTCACCCATCAACATTTTTATTATGCCCTTTCCTACATTATTAAAATATTTTGAAATTGCATAACAAAATTCTTCTTTAACTGATGAGCCTTTATCATTTGTTGGTGGTGCTTAACACTGTATTATCGACGTTCAGCTTCTGTTTCGCTGTTCTAAATATTCTAGGGCACAGCCTCCCATTCTAGTAGTGCTCTCTTTGCTTCTATCGAAAGCATCAGGGCAACTCCTTTACTGTGGGAATAGTTTTCCTTTGTATGTCCTGGGAATAAAATAGGACTCAATCTGGTACTCATTAAAGGCTGGGTCAACCTGGCAGCCAAAATAATTTGGGAGAAAAAAAGTCCGGTTTTTTTCTGGAGCTGAACCTAAGACCTTCCGATCCGCAGGCGAGAGTTTAGTCACTACACCACGGTGACTCCCTATAAATATAATAATACATATAACCTTGTTTAGTAAAAACACACTTATTCAATTATACTGACTGTATCATCTTTGTATAGCAGATCGTTTGCATCGTATTATTTCTCCATATCTCTTTTCTGTACCTTCCCAGATACCTTGCCTCATGTCTGTTGTTGTTTGAACGTTGTTGTTTTTTTTACCCACCTCCCTGCTGGGTAACGACTACCTCTTCTCTCAGAAAATAACTAGGACTGTTGTTTTAGGTCACTGTGGCGTATTATATCACCGATGTGCTTCAGTTTCCCAGGCAAAGTGCTGTCTAAGAGTTCGCTTACAATTAAAATCTGATGATACAATGTCGTACTTCTTTTTTTTTTTCTGTAACCGCATTGTTCTGAAAAGGTTTCCGTAACGTTTTAGTTCAGAGGTCCTGATTTTCTTTCTCATGACTATGAAAATGTCCATGACTGACCACTGTGTGTGGTCATCTGAATTCTATTGAACAGTCACTGCTGTTGTTATATGTTGTTCAAAGTATTCGCAGTTTGTGACATTTTCAGTTCCTTTGTCGTAGATAACACTGTTTGCTTGACATGTCAATTTTGTTTAGAACCAGATTATGATCGTCACTGTGTCTTTACAAATAAGAATAATTATTCTCAATCCTTTGTATTTTTGAGTAATTTGCTTATATAATTTCTAGAATTGACTTCCACTATTGATGAACAGATCAAAACCGGCCCAAGTCTCAACAGTGTGGAATATTGTATTACTTCTTGTGTAGACGGAGAAGGGGTGCAAGCCTGCCATTCTCTGTCATAGGCACCTTCAAATAGTCTGATGTTTCAGCGTCAACTTAAACAGAAGCTTGTTAATCTTGATATCATGTTGCAACTGTCTCTCATAAACGAATGTGTACCCCAACATGTTTATTTTATCCTAGGATTTATCTCAGAAGAAAATTTGACTTATCACATCATATCATTCTGTTGTAGCCTAGAATTTACATGCTTAGACACTTGGCACCCCTATAGCAATTTGTCTTTGACCTCCGGTGGCAAAGGTGAATAAATTAACAGCAGAGCCTAGGATGAGCAGCTGTAAATTAGGCACCGATGGGAAGACTGTCTTTATGCTGAGAGACACACAGACAGACACACACGTTTGCTAGCGTGCTCTTGCTGTCAGTGAATTATAAACTTGTTTCAGTTTGACATTTCAGAGATAAGTTCACGTTTCCCTGTTGTATAATGCAACCACACATGATCTCTGATGAGAAGACTACACATAATTGTATACATTGATACAGGTGTACACTCTGCCCGAGTACATGGCCAAGAGATTCGGCGGGAACAGACTTCGTGTTTATCTCAGTTGTCTGTCCTTGATACTCTACATAGTCACCAAACTCGCGGTAAGTGATTTATTATTAGTTTCTCAAAGCACATCCTTGGCACTAGTTAAAATGTTTAGTAACGTTTGTTGCTATGTTTGTTTTGAGAATACAGTTGTCCGGGTTCAACCGCCAAGATTATTGCAACTCCGGGGTCGACGCAACTTCGTGATTGGGTTATCAGATATTTCTGAGAATGTTCTCGCAAAATATTGGGAAATGGGAAGGCGATAAGTATGTGATCTACCCATCCCGCGTTACAACGACACTCCGCTGGAAAAGGTATAGTTGACCAGTGCTAATAGTTACTGCGCATGACCTTGGGTCACTCAATATATCCTGTTTCCGGAGCTACTGGTGCTGATATGACCCTGGTAAACTTCTCAACACTGACACTCGTATCAGGAGGCACAACTAACTGCCGTCTATTGAACGCCTCAAAATTGTAACCAGCTTTTGCCAGCATTTCTCTGACGTCACAGCCACTCAATGAACCTAACGAATAGATCTATGATAAAAATGACATAGTGTCACAGATTCCTTTTTGTTGTCTACGTTGTCACGGGTTGATTTGAATATGGTTCATATACCAAATGAAAAATACAATAATTGGCAATAATTGTAAAATGTCATCAGGAAGCTGTGCAAAAACGACCAACGCGTCTTTTAAGCAGCAAATTTAAAATTAAAATAAAAGATGGGACAACAAAAACACGTAGCCTAAAATAAACAAAGAAAAAGATTATTCTAAGTCACTAACAGACATAAGAACTTCACAACAGAGTGTACGAAACAAAATCGCCTAATACTTTGAAGGAAGCTCCCAATTAGTCAACTCTCACGACATGCTTCGGGGTAGACAGTGGGTCTATTCTTGTTTTCCCTATAACAGAGCCCCGGAACCCACACGGGGATCTTGTAAAATGATTTAAACTTTTTCTTGATAGTTTATTTCCTCTTCTTGAAATGTATGGATCTGCAGATAGACTAGAAACCTCTTAATTTAAACTGAGTAAGAAACGTGTTCTGTCTACGGGGGGTATCATTTGTGGGGAAAAAGACAGAGAAAGACAGCGCTAAAAGGTTCTTAACCGCCTTTTGTCCTGGCATGGAAGGGTGTCAACACACGAACTAATACACGCAGCTGCGGATCGCATATTCTGGAAAGACATGATCGCCCACACCAGTCAGCAAGGCACTTGACGATGATGATGATGACGGGGGTTACTTTTCATTGCTCCTTGTGATATCCGTAAGCTCATATTTTGAACCTCGTACAGATTTCACAAGTTCGTTCTCGCGGCTCAGCTGGTGAGATTGGGGTGTAAAGCATGAAAGGCTTACCAGATCGAGTGTAGACTAGCATTCCTGATCATGATTTGTGTACCTTCTACAGCAAGTTTCATCCAGTTTTTATTTTAATTAAAGCCAGTCTTTGTATGTTTTTTTAAATTTGATTTGATGTTCTTACTCTGCATTTGGCTTCAGGGTGCCCTTGATGTTTAGTGTAACTCCTCACAAAAAACAAAAATAACTAAAAAGAAAAAGGGGTAGATCTAGGATACTTGCTATATTTTTTTAACGTTAAAAATATTCTTTTATTGTCTGGACGAAAGAAAATATACGGTTGCAAAAATTTTTGTTGTTTTAGTTTTAGATATATGTTTGAGCTTCTGTATGACAATTATCTGTAGCGTTGTCTCTATTATCACAAAATGTTTGAGAGCGTAACCAAACCTGAAATTCCACATTGTGACAGTAACTTCAAAAGAGACGTACATAGGCAGAGGAAACTAACTCTACTTATGCTAGGACGATAAAATGCAATCTGAAAACAGTTACGGAAGGCAGACCAGGTTCATAGCCTTGGTTGGCATCTAGTCTATGACGGAAGTTAAGTCAAGCGAATAGACAGTTTATGGCTCTTTAAATTCGACAGGTTCTGCAGCATGCTTTGTTCCAAACGCATTGGTGTCACCTTTCCTTTTGAGTAAACAAGGCATGCCGAACGAGGGGTCGTGCAGAACGACTAACACATGGTCTCTAAAATAAAGTATAGGTTTTGTGCGCTCGAGATAATGAATTCCCTTCTTGGCCTTAACTGGCTAAGATTGGTATGTCTCTCTGTAATACAATATAACACTGTCGTAGGTCAATAAAAATTTTAGAACCCAAATTTTTGCTCGGTTCCCTACCTTCACCACTGACCTTTGCATCGGCATGATCTCTATCTATATTCTTTTACCCCACCAGGACATCACACAAGCGATAATCACCCGATGACACAAAGTGCCACCACGTGGATGAGGATCACCCGTAAAGAGGTCACAGAAACCGCGTTCAGCCATTAGACCATATTTATGACCGGGCTATATTGCGGCCCCTGGGAGAGCCAGAGCAAGGCTTGAGATAACGAAAAATTGCACCCCACACAGTGATGACAGGATGTAAATCAATCTGATAGGAGGCTATTGTAGTGTTTTCACTAGCCGTCTCAACAGCAAAGTCATGGGCGAACATTTTTTTTTTCTATAAAGTTCTTGTTCATGAAACTTGCTATAGTGTGTTTCAAAAGTTCAGCTATCACACTTCAACAAAAGTCTGAAAATTCCTGTAGGAATGAACACGAATTTTTGAATATAGCCTCAGATCCCCCATGTCCTTATGACTATATAATTTACGATTGCTTAGTGCTACTGCTTATGGCAGTGTATTTTTTTTAAAAATCTTTCCTTGACTAATAATTTTTGGTATGCCCTCCCCCCCCCCCCCCCCAAAAAAAAAAAATATATATATATATATATATATATACAGTCCCTGAGACACGTTTAGAGATTGCTTGGAAATGAATACCCCTGTGCAGCGATGCATAGAGGTTGTTGTGATAGCCTTTACGCATGCAATGAAAAATTGTCTTCATATAACTAAGAAAAGGCTAATGCTGGTGATGACCACATGGAAGTGAAACGCCCATGAAACACGTAGAATTTGATATTTTGAAAGTTTCCGATACCCAATTAACTGTAAGCGTGCCGACTGTTTGCTTTGATTCGGTGTCTGATTTTCATAATATGCAAAAAGGGCGAACATGAAAACTAGATGTTTGTTTACAATATGTGTGTACAAGCACTTGGTTATTAACAGATGGGATGCCAGTTTTTAAGAACTGACACGCAACGATTACTGAGTTATAGATTGTTAACGTGGGGTAGGACTTCTGGAGAATACCATTATGGCAATATTTACTCATGTCAGTTATGTAAATTACAAAGACTTGGCTCTTTCATGGTGCTCCTAGACACCCCAAAATTGTTTGACTGTGTGAACAGCTGAACAGTTGGTATATGTGAATTTGATTCCTATTTAAATTTGGTCAAATCGTTGGTACAGAAGGTCTAATTGTTGGTACAGAAGGTCAAATCGTTGGTACAGAAGGTCAAATCGTTGGTACAGAAGGTCAAATTGTTGGTACAGAAGGTCAAATCGTTGGTACAGAAGGTCAAATCGTTGGTACAGAAGGTCAAATTGTTGGTACAGAAAATCAAATTCTTGGTACAGAAGGTCAAAACATGTCGTGAGTAACTGCAACTTGTGAAAGTTTCCACTCAGACCGTCGTTCCAATGGGTGTTGAAGAATGAGAATATTACCTAACAACTGAAGAACTACACAAGGCTATTCGGCTAATTTTATCCAGGAGTCAACTTTTTGGAAACAGGGAGGGTCACGACCAAAGCTCCAGCATAGGAAGATCATTAATTCAAAACAGTTGGGTGCCAAATGTGGCCGGCTTGGTACTAAATAACACATTCTTTAATGAGAAGGATGAATATGATGGTTCTCTCTCTCTCTCTCTCTCTCTCTCTCTCTCTCTTCTCTCTCTCTCTCTCTCTCTCTCTCTCTCTCTCTCTCTCTCTCTGTGTGTGTGTGTGTGTGTGTGTGTGTGTCCCTCTCTCTACCGTTGTCTTATAGATATGAAAAGCTGGACTGTCTTAACGTCCCCCCCCCCCCCCGCCACCCTTCCTGTCCCCGTAGCGCCTACTTTAGGAAATAATGTTGTAGGGGACATTCCAAGACCCACTCTGTCATTTCGTGGCGTCTGTTTTACTAGACAGTTTTTACATTTAGTTTACAAACTACCTCAGCTGACCCATAATACTAAAGTGAATGCTTTAAACCCCACATTAGGCGACTCGCTTTTAAATCTAACTGTGACTCACGGCTGGTTTTTGAAATGTGACGGTTTCTGGGGTTTACACAACCTCTAGGTAATGGGTACCATTGTAAAAAGAAGAACTCCACAGGGAAGCATGTACAGCAGGGGTCTACTGATCATCAGTACAATATCCCTCGTCGACAGTTGTTTTGTACCCATAACCTCCTAGACCAAAGCTATTCAACTAAGTTTACTCAGGGGCCAAAATTTGGAAAATGGGGATGGTCATGGGCCAAATGCTCAATCCCAACACAGAAAGAGCGTTAATGAAATTAATACATTTCAGGTAGTAGTAGGCCGACGAGGGTCATGACCCCCAGGCTTCGGTCTTCTCCTGCTACAATTTACCGGATGTTCTCAGACAGGGACAAGACGAAAATAGTGACTGTGTAACGGGTAATGTGAGATCCGAAGTTAAATATATGTATTGTCGCTGCTGTAGCCAATTAGACCATCCGGATAGAGAAGCGTCGCTGTAGCTACGGAGCTTCGATCGGACAGCGACACAGGCGGACTGTTTCTTTTCAGCTGCCCGTACTGGTGGCAGAGCGCCTATGGTTTATAACCGTGTGCAATGATGCTGGTTCACATCTTTTGACTTTACCTTTTTTATGGCGATGTTAACTGGAAGTTTTTCTTCATCATCACTGTTATTCTTAGACAAATAAACTAACGTTTAATAAATGAAATATAAAACACACATGTAGACAGACAACTCTTGCTGAAGCCAGTGTAACCGTTGTCATGATTATGTCCTCTCGTCGTTCTCAGGTGAGCATCTATGCCGGTGCTCTGTTCATCAAACTAGCCCTGGGCTGGGACATGTACCTGTCTATAGCTGGGCTGCTTTTAATCACTGGATTCTACACAGTGTTAGGTAGGGCTAGGTGTACTTCATTATCTCAACTGATTTGTTCTTTGTATATCTGTCGAATTGTCTGTCGAATTGTCTGCCTGTCTCTGTATGTCTGTCGGCTTGTTTGCCTGTCTCTGTATGTCTGTCGGCTTGTCTGCCTGTCTCTGATTGTTTCCATATTTAGGACCACTTCTCATTCTGACTGTTCACGTCCAGAGGCGCATTCTGCAAACATTTTTCGATCTATAATTGTTATCATCGAGTGATACTGTGATTAACACAGTCGTGAACATTGGACTGGACGTTTTCACTCCCTACAGTCTGCCTGATATATGACCATCAAATATTCATACTCAAGGAAAATAGGAATGACATGCTATATATACATCCAGATTGTCTCACATATCTTAAAAATGTAGCTAACATTAAAGATACTAACCTGAATGTGTCCATACATTAACATAGTAAAATGCGGGAATGGAAGGGGAAAGACAAGGGAGTTTAGGGGGTGGGGGTGGAGGCGCAGTGAACCGAACCTTTCAGTTTCAGTGAAAACTGCTTGTTCCTGTCGTCTATGTTTAATCTTCAAAGTTGATGAAATATTCTACACTAACAGATAACAGTTCTCAGTATAACAAAGTATATCTAAAGGCTTTTGTGGCGTAACTCTGAGTCCCAGGGGGTTTAGCATCAGCGGCCCAAGGGTTGTAAAGGGAGATAGAAAAATCGGTGCATCGTGCGTTGATTAGGTTTCTAGGTAGGAACCTATCAACGTATGGTGCGTTCTTTGGGACACACAGAGCTAAGAGTTATAAAGGTGGTTTTTATCAGCTGCAGGCAAGATGGCATTGGTCCGTTGTGAACTGATTTTGACAAAGGTATGGGTTAGTTATATAGGTTAGTTGCGTATCCTTTACAGAACGTTGCAGAACCAACCCCAGCAGCCTCTGGCTGTTGTGTGGTTTTTCCAGGCAAATTTACGTCCTCTAGTTTGCTATTGCCTCTGGACGGTCGGCTTTCTTGATACCTCTGTCGAAACCGTTCGCATCGACTTATCCACAGAGCCGACGCAGTAGCAGACTACTGAATGTAAAACTGCCAGGTAACACACACAAACGGCCTGCAAGTGTCATGTTGTCTTTGAAACAGACACACAACTAACTTTAATATACCACATCTTTAATATTATATAAGTATGTAGACAGACCTCGGAAATAATTTTGTTTTGGTTTTGTTGTTGTTTTCGGGGGGAAATAGAACGGGAAAAAAAGAGATAAAAATTAAATAGTTAGAGAATATCGTAAGGCTTTTTAAACAACGTGTGCCGTCTCCATAATGTCATTATCATGAACATGACTGTCGTTGTCAAAAACATGAATGTCGTTGTCATTAACATGAATGTCGTTGTCATAAACATGACTGTCGTTGTCATAAATATGAATTTCGTTGTCATGAACCTGAATGTCGCTGTCATGAACATGAATGTCGTTGTCATGAACCTGAATGTCGCTGTCATGAACATAAATGTCGCTGTCATGAACCTGAATGTCGCTGTCATGTACATGAATGTCATTGTCATGAACATGAATGTCGCTGTCATGAACCTGAATGTCGTTGTCATGAACAGGAATGTCGTTGTCATGAACCTGAATGTCGCTGTCAAGAACCTGAATGTTGCTGTCATGTACATAAATGTCGTTGTCATGAAGATGAATGTCGTTGTCATGAACCTGAATGTCGCTGTCAAGAACATGAATGTTGCTGTCATGTACATGAATGTCGTTGTCATGAACATGAATGTCGTTGTCATGAACATGAATGTTGCTGTCAAGAACATGAATGTTGCTGTCATGTACATAAATGTCGTTGTCATGAACATGAATGTCGTTGTCATGAACCTGAATAACGCTGTCATGAACATGAATGTCGTTGTCATGAACATGAATGTCGTTGTCATGAACATGAATGTCGTTGTCATGAACATGAATGTCGTTGTCACCTGTCGTAACAAATGTTCTCGTTGACAGGTGGGCTGGCAGCTGTCATCTTCACAGACGCACTGCAGACGATAATCATGACAATTGGAGCTATCATCTTGTCTGTCATCAGTAAGCCAGTCATTATGCTACTTCCCTTCATACAATCAACATCCACAGATCTCTATATTCAGATACTTTAACATTCATATTTTTTTGTGGAACTGGCCTAATCATATTTTTTAAATCGTAAATACACACACACGCGCGCGCGCGAACAAACACACACGTGCGGACACACGCGCACACACAAGACATCCTGCTGGCAGGCATAAAGAAATCAGACCACTTTAGCTCGAAACGCAGGGTATTTATTGTCCTTTATGTCTTCTCTAAGTGAAGTGAAGCATTGAGAACGTAAGTGTGTCATTTAAAGGAATGCTGTACTCAGAAAGAATCAACAATACCCAAGTTTAGTTCTCCAAGAGATGTCCATCATAGCCAGAGGAAAGTCTAATGGCACTTATATATATATATATATATTTCTTTTGCCTTCAGAGCCCTGGAGGTTTTTTGCTGCAGATAACATTCCCTCTCAATTTAATCATCTGATTGGCTTTCTGATTTTATCTGATGACTCCAAGTGCTTGTAGGTCTGCCTGAATATTATTTTTCCGCAGTTTTATTGGTCTGCCTCGTGGTCTACGGTCATTCAGGTACCTTGTGTACAAACGTCATGCCTGTCTTTCGTCTGCCCTTCTCTCTCTCTATATATGTCCCCAGTCGTTTCATCCCATTTGCCCTCATGATGCTAGTGATCAATGATGATTTAAACAGATGATGAATTTCATTGTTGCCTTTCACTCTCCATTCTCTGCTGTTCGGTGGGTCCAAAGATTTGTCGCAAGAGTGTTTTTTATTCCCCCCTCTCACGCACCTTTTTCTTCCCGAAAAAAAAATTATGTTTACTGAGAGAGCTTAAAAATATAATTTTAGAATTTCAATTCTTAATCCTTTTTTTTTTTTTTTTAAATAGTTTAATAGTGCTACCTTAGCTATTCTCATTTTTATGTTGTTGTTGCGAATTTGTTGATTTTTTAGAAGAACAGTAGTAAGCTTTACTTTCAGCTCTTTGCAAAATATGAACAGCTTTAGCATGTGATAAACAATTAATCATTTTTTAGTCCTAATATTACAGTTAAAACAACCACTACTATAAAGACACAGTTATATGTTGCTTGTTCTAGAGTCGGCAGACCAGACTATATCTGCGCGGACATTGATAGCGAAATTACCCATACTAGAAACCTACGCTTTCAATTCTCTTTCTGTCCATTTAGCCAGACTAGGTCACAGCAATGCGTGGCCGGGTACAGTTCACACACACAAACAAACACACACACTCACACACACACACACACACATATAAAACATTTCCCACTTAATCGTGATGATAAACTCGACACAACACCTTTTTTTTTTTTAACCAAGTCAGATTAACAGACTCGAAATAACATGTTCTTGCATTACTTTTGCAATGCCCCTGTTTACATACAGTCTCTGGCTATAGTTATCTGCACAATGTATACTTAATGTAACTCAACAGGCTGAACAGCCAACGATGTCACACAGGTGATCGATGACATAATGTAACTCAACAGGTTTTAGAACCCACGATGTTACACAGGTGATCGCTGACATAATGTAACTCAACAGGTTTTAAAAACCCACTATGTCACACAGGTGATCGCTGACATAATGTAACTCAACAGGCTGAACAGCCAACGATGTCACACAGGTGATCGATGACATAATGTAACTCAACAGGTTTTAGAACCCACTATGTCACACAGGTGATCGATGACATAATATAACTCAACAGGTTGAAGAACCAACGATGTCACACAGGTGATCGCTGACATAATATAACTCAACAGGTTAAAGAACCAACGATGTAACACAGGTGATCGATGACATAATGTAATTCAACAGGTTTTAGAACCCACTATGTCACACAGGTGATCGCTGACATAATATAACTCAACAGGTTGAAGAACCAACGATGTCACACAGGTGATCGCTGATATAATATAACTCAACAGGTTAAAAAACCAACGATGTCACACAGGTGATCGCTGACATAATATAACTCAACAGGTTGAAGAAACAACGATGTCACACAGGTGATCGCTGATATAATATAACTCAACAGGTTAAAAAAACCAACGATGTCACACAGGTGATCGCTGACATAATATAACTCAACAGGTTGAAGAAACAACGTTGTCACACAGGTGATCGCTGATATAATATAACTCAACAGCTTAAAGAACCAACGATGTCACACTGGTGATCGCTGATATAATGTAACTCATCAACTTGAAGAACCAACGATGCCACACAGGTGATCGCTGATATTATGTAACTAAACAGGCTGAACAACGAACGATGTCACACAGGTGATAGCTGACATAATGTAACTCAACAGGTTAAAGAACCAACGATGTCACACAGGTAATCGCTGACATAATGTAACTCAACAGGTTGAAGAACCAACGATGTGACACAGGTGATCGCTGACAATATTTGTATTCATTCAACCTTTGCTGACTTGTTCAAAAACAGTTCATCCACTTGACACGACATTTCCTGAAAGCCTCTAACAAACGTTACCTTTAACTATACAATGTCAGGAAAATCCACGCAGACGCCTTGGCAATCACAAAGCACTCACACCGACAGAAGCCGATGACATCTAAGTTTGACAGGAAGTCAATTGGACAGGAATTGGCCATGGTTCCAGGGAAACTCTCAATCAAACTCGAGTACAGGCGTTCACTAAAACCTAGATTCGTTCAGCATTCGTTCGTAAAACATTCTAATTTACACGTTCTTGTATTGTTTCCACATGACCATATTGACAAACTCTGCATAAAAGTTTCTTGTATTTTTTTTTTATTTAACATGGTCATGTAGACAAATTCGACATTACACTTTTTGTATTAGTTCCCGTGGGTGACACAATCAATGTAATTCCCATTTTTCGCTTTCACCGGCTGTAAACTGGCGAAAAGTGGTGGCTGTTCGTTCACCAGTAGACTTAAGTCTTGTTCCAGAACCTGAGTGTCGCGTTCACATCCGTTTTCCAGATCTGACTTGTCTGTATGCAGAATGTTGGTTCCTTGCCTCCTGAGCAGACACTCCGACTTTCAAGTAAGCTCCCAGTTAGTTGACTACTACGACATGCTTGTTGTGGAGGCAGTACTCATGTTTTTGGATTAGATGTGAATCATCATGATCAAGTGAGTCAGTCCAGAAAGAGTCTCAAACCAATACTCACTGTTCTCTGCAGCTGTGCACTAAGTGTGAATCTAGATGCTCTTGCTTGCCAGTCTGATATAGCTATTTCCTGGCTTTCTCTTACCTCCGGGCCCACCCCGTTCTTTTCTCGTAAAAGTTGTATCACACATCATGCTTGAACGTTTAGCTGAGCTATACTATGAATGAAGTAACAGAAAATGTATTGATCGGCACTCATAGAAAGAAGTAGAAAGATAGAAGAACACACTAGACAACATAAAAATCGATAGCTATTGTTACCATGCCGGGAATCGAACCTGTCACCCCCAAACGGCGTGTGCGCCTTGCTATGGAAACAAGTACACTAGGAACATGGCAAACTAGGCACCCCCACCAAAAAAAAGGTGTCTTTTTGGCCATGTCTATCGTGCAGCTTGAAATCCACAACTATGGAATATGGACAGAATTCATTTCAAACTATTGAAATGGCACAATAGGTTACATACATTTATGAAGCGTATGTCGAATAACAAGCACAGCAACAATTTACGAACACGGTAGACCTTAATGCTTTGTCTAGAATACACGAACATTCAAGAAAGGTATTTGATTGGTAGGTTCCGGTGTGTATGCATCATAGCTATACAAGTATTTACATTTCCTTTCAGGTTTCAACAAAATCGGAGGTTACAGACAACTTGTATATCGGTACATGATGGCCACACCCTCTTCTCCATACAACATGTCGGTCTCATGTGGAAAGCCACGAGACGACGCTTTCCACATCTTCCGTGACCCGGTGACCTCTGATAACCCCTGGCCTGGCCTCTTTCTGCAGTCCAGTCTTGGAGTGATGTGGTACTGGTGCTGTGATCAGGTATCTTCTCCCATGTTTCACGTGACAGTCCCTCAGTAAATAGCGTGCACTTTTTCTCCTGCAGCTGCTAGATAATTGCAGTATTAGTTATTATTTTATATTAGTTAGTTAGTTAGTTAGCTAGCTACCTAGTTAGTTAGTTAGCTTGTTAGTTAGTTAGCTAGATAGCTATCTATCTAGTTAGTTAGCTACCTAGTTAGTTAGTTAGCTAGCTACCTAGTTAGTTAGTTAGCTAGTTAGTTAGTTAGCTAGATAGCTATCCATCTAGTTAGTTAGCTACCTAGTTAGTTAGTTAGTTAGCTAGCTAGCTAGCTAGTCTAGTCAGTTAGTCAGTGAGCCAGTCAGTCAGCTAGTTAGCTAGCTAGCTAGCTAGTTAGTTTAGTAGTTATTCAGTTAGCTAGCTAGCTAGCTAGCTAGCTAGTTAGTCAGTCAGCTAGTTAGTCAGTCACTCACATAGTTAGTTAGTCAGTGAGGCAGTCAGTCAGTCAGCTAGATTGTTAGTCAGTCAGTGAGTCAGTCGGTCGGTCAACTAGTTAATTACTCAGTGAGTCAGTGAGTCAGTTAGCCAGTGAGTCAGTTAGTCAGTCAGTCAGTTAATTGGCTAATTATTTAGTTAGCTAGTTGGTTAGCTAGTTAGTTAGCTAGTTAGTTAGCTGGTTGGCTAGCTAGTTGGCTAGCTAGTTAGTTAGTTGAATAATGTCCCGAGTCTGACCCATCCAGGATTTTCCTCTTTTAAACCTGCTACCCTTCTTCCTACGAACCTTACTGTGCAGCGGAGGATGTGTATCGGCACTGATACGCAGATTCGCACGTGCTCAGCAGATCACTGTTGTCACTTCCATGGCTGAAAGATTAGGGAGCAACGCATCTCTCTGCAAGCTGTAGTTTTTGTGCATTCAAGTGTGATGTGCATGGCCTCATTCTGTATCCGATCTAGTCTATCTATCTGTGTACGGCTAAGAGTCAGAATCGCCAGAGCGTACTCAGTTACAGAAAGGATCAGACCCTAGTATAAGAAATACAAGTGACGTTGCTCACGTTTTGTCGCAGCCAAACTCGTTACCGCCGTCAAAACCTCCCTTTGCCTTCATTATCCCGTGGTTGATTGCTTGACATGCTCATAAAGCCAAGACTACGATCAAACACACTTCTAAATGTTTATGTTTATACAACGTATCAACATCACGACTAAAGGTATAACCCATAAGGGCTCCGTTCTACTTCTAACTCTGAAGAATCTCAGTGCAGTGCACCAACTCCGCAGCACAAGCGATGATCGCGAAATACTTTGCGTAGATTTTAAACTCTAAATTTTGCCCAGGCAGCGCCGTTAGGGTACTCTTTTCGATTTCCAACTGCCAAGGGATTTGTTTACGTACGCAGCAACATATACAGTCGTCTCATTTTTCCACCTAGAGACCAGTAGAAATTATATGAAGACCACGTACAAAAACTACAGTCTTCACTGGGGATTGAACCCAGGATTTTCAGCACATAAATACTTCACTAACCTAGTTCTCTCCATGATCTCCGAATACAGACTCACATTTGGTGTTGTTATGTTTAAAAAATATTTGTTTTTTAAAATGTCACCACTGACTTTGACATATTGATGACCGCTTCCGCTTCATCATACCACATGCTTATGCAGTCACGTTCTGTCTCAGGGCCCTCAGCAACCTGATCCTGGTCTCTACCTTGACGGTACACCAACACATCATTAGCATACGACAAAATCCTTCCCGGTCCCGCGATCAGCTCACCAGTGATACTCATGGTGAACATGTTGAAAAGTATCGGGGATGAAGCTGAACCTTGTGACAGACCGGAATATATAGTTATTGGTTCAGATGCCCAACTACCACCCTTAAACACCATCTTCCACTTGAAGAGAGCCGATGTGATCCAGCTAATAAGGAACGGGCTGAGACGGAGATCAAGAAGCTGACCAATAAAGAAGTCAAACTGGTACCTTGTTGTACGCATCCTCATGATCAGTTGCAGCAGCACAAGTTTCCATCCCTGAGAGGAATCTCTCATCAACATCATATGCAAAAATCGCCGCATTTCTCCAGGACTCTCTGTTTTGGCGATATCCTCCCAGGAGGGGTGGTTGGAAAGAGGCCTAACTGCTCAAGACGGCATATATTTTCTTTGCAACTAACTTTTCCGATAGTTTGCCAGTTGTTTTCTGCACTGCGATTACACGGTACCCCTGAATTGTTGGTGTAGTCTTTATCAGGTTTCGACAAATGTTGCTTCGTCTTGGTTTTTCTGGGCTTCATCAAAACTCTGGTCTTTCTCTCCTTGTTGTAAAAAGCTAGAATGAACACATCAGATGACAAACACGCCCATCTACAGTTATCGATTTTTTTAGCCGATCTAACAACTGTACTGTCCGGTCAGTTTTCTGTGTTTTCAATAACAAATACAACTTCAGAAATATTACAACTCGAATTTAGATGCAAATTACCTTTCAGACAGTACATATACTTCCGGTCCTTTTTAGGATGCAATGATTCGTTATTTAAAGCCCTACTCTGGCTCTTGCCAGGGACCGCACTATAACCCGGCCATAAATATGGCCTAATGGCTGAACGCGGTTTCTGGGACCTCTCCATGGTGATCCTCATCCACATGGTGGCACTTTGTGTCATCGCTTGTGTGATGTATTGGTGGGGTAGAAAGTCAGTCAGTCAGTCAGACAGTACATCTCCTTCATGTCAGTATCTTGCCTCCTTCATGCCAGTATCTTGCCTCCTTCATGCCAGTATATTGCACTTGCAGTTCCACACAACCGAATCTTGCAGTAGGTTGACATTCACTCACATCGACACCGCCATGTCTCTCGGCGTCCCAAACAACTTCTACACGTAGTCAGGCAATCTGCATTCTTCAAAATCGTTCCTCTGCACTTGACGGCTCACATATGCGTCCAAACATCAACTGATTTCCTATCTTTTCTCGTCCTCGGGGTTTTTATTGAATACAGCTAGGATATAGCAGACATGAAGCTGTATAAATTGCCACGCTATCTTTGACCTCTGCAGGTTATAGTTCAGCGGTCGCTGGCAGCCAAGAACTTGAGTCATGCCAAGGCGGGCTCCATTTTGGCTGGATACCTCAAGTTGACACCACTTTTCTTCATGATATTTCCGGGGATGATCAGTCGAGCTCTCTATCCAGGTACCTGTATTGTGTTTGTGTTGGAGTTGTTCTGTAGAAAGTCATGCATTGTCTTGTTGTGTCATTAAATTTCACATAGGGTTCGAGGTCTATTCCTCCATTCTACTCTATCTTGTGCAGTCATTTCAATAACATCAATGAAATCCAGTCCAGCACGTTTGATCGTTTTCAGCAATGTTCTTTTTTTTTTCAAGGGTTTCTTTGTGTCTCCTCGCCTCCTTAATCCGTTTATTTCCTGTTTTAGTGCAGATTTGGTGATTCTATGCTCGTTACTTCCCAGCTTGTATCAAATACGGCGCCATCTTCGTTGTCTTACACTGTTTGTTGAGGGCATGTAAGAGGACAGGCAGATCTACTTTTGTGCAGCCTCCATGGTAGACATCAGAGTTAGAACAGGCATGGAAATTAAAGAGAGCTGTAGTTAGGCGTTTAAAGTGCAATAGACAGCTCAAAGCTCACAGAAAGAATTGAAGTGAGTGGAATGGGATAAGAAAGATAGGTTAGAGTTTTTCAAGCGCTGTGCGACAAAAGCGGAAATAAAGCAAAATTGGAGCATTTCGTTGATGAGATTGGGGGCGAAAAGACATTGGAAAATTTGTGGAAGCTTCATAGACAGATGCTCAAGAAAGATCGGTCCAGGGTAGAGGGAACAATTCACGAAGATGACGACTTGCTATTGACCACAGACAAAGAGAAGAGGGAGGCTTTCGGGAAGAGGTTCAATTTTACAGACAGACCACAATGATGGAGATAAAAGAGATGCAGTTAGAGAAGATCTGTCAGCAGCCATAAAGAACAAACATTATAAAGACATCATACAGGTGGAAGATGTAAAACATGTTCTGGAAAGGGTAAAAAAGAGGGTTAGATATTTCCCCATGAGGGATATCAGCGATGCAGACCTGGTGGAGATGACTGCTTTAATGTTTTTACGAGCAAGACTGCGGAACTGGAAACATCTGGAATTGACAGAATATTAACATTAGCAGATGATTTTTTCGTAAATTGAAAGGGTGGAGATTTAAAAAAAAATAGCACAAGAGTTAGAGGCGACAGTAGATAAGGTGATCGACTGGTGTACAGAGATTAGTGCTTCAATCAGCCCAGAAAAGGCTACCGTCTTGTGGGGTTCTTTAGACAACAGTTAGAGCTGATGTTCCAAGCCTCAAAATAAATGGCAGGGACATCAACAGAGACAACAGACTGCGGTACCTGGGTATTACCTTTGACAGAAGTGTGTCTTTTAAGGATCACAAAGATGGGGTTGTGACAAGGGCTCAAAAAGTTTTAATGCACTTAAGATTATGGCAGCGATGGACATGGAGCAGAGAATGCTGTTCACACTTGACCAGCAATTAATCATCTCAGTGAATGTTCAATGACTGGGGTTACTATCTGTCTCAAAGAGTCAGCTAGAGAAACTGGAGCGCATACGGAATGAAGCTATGCGGGTGATCCTGGGATGTACAAGAAACACCCTAATTGTGTGCATGCGATACATCGTTGCATTGCCGACTATTGCAAATAGACTAAAGATGCTGCAGGCTAAGTCATACCACAGAGTAGCTGCAGACAAAGAGCACCCTCTGGATAAAGTTTTGCTGCAGGTAAGGGTTGGATGCTAAAAAAGAGAAAATCTCGGATGGCTCAAGCAGAAGATACAATAAGACAAGAATGCATGCTGAAGAATATTGGGCGAGGAGAGGAGTGGTTCAGAGTCCCAGAGGAAAAGTCTGACAAATGTAGGGGAATGATCACATTAGGCTGAGAGTGCAGAGTGGCCAGCGTGTGCTACGGAGGTGGAAGTCCAACAGTTAATTCACGACATTTACGACAATTCAAGCATAGGTGATCTGATTATCTATACAGATGGTTCTGTGTTGAGAGGGAAGAGAAGTGTCTGGGGGTTCGTAGCGAAGGCTAACAGAAAAATCTTTGGTGCAGGACAGTCTGTCATATGATACTAAAACATCTAGCATGAGAATGGAGGTGGAGACTGTCACTGCAGCTCACCGGTGGCTACAAAACAAGATACATACACAGAAACGAAACTAGATTATTATGGCCTGGAGAGAATGATGCACGCGGTTGTAACTAGAAGATCTGGCCAGCTTTACACTCAGAGGAAAGGCAAGACGGACACGTAGTTAGATTACAACTGGTACCATTAGTGTTAGAACTCTGCGGTGGCTTCTGACAATGAGGACGGAGCGGGCATGGAAATGTCCTGAGTCCTGTGATGTCAATTCTTGACTCAACACAAATTCGCAACACAATGTTTCCTAAAAACGAGAGTTTTTCAAGACATTTCTCCTATTTCTACACCTTCTTTAAATCCATCTATGTTGTGTTCATCATTTACCCCAGACATTTGTATTCGAATGCATTTAACTTTCTGTCCGTGCATTCGGTGGTTCTCCGACCTTCACTAGCATAAATCAAAATTGAAATAAGATTAGAACTAAAAATATATAAATTGTGTGTAGAAATACATCGGTCATAATCGAAGATCAAAAACTGACAACAAGCTCAACTGGGGAAACAAAAAATCAGAAATAAATAACACTAAATTGGATATCCTAAAGTCACTCACCAAATCTAGATATGTGTCATCATCATCACGTAGTAGGTCCTTTGCAGAGCCTCACTTTCAGCACAGCACGTCGTGAAGCCACTCCTTCCTTTCTCAACTGGGCCGTCTTGTAAACGTTCTTGTGCCACGTATGCTGGTCTATCTCTGCCTCTTCTTCCAGGAACGATTACCCCACTCCCCCCCCCCCCCCCCCTTTTTCCCACAACCGATTACTGTACTCTCCTAACCACCTTGGCTTTTAATTTGAACGAAGAATTTCAGTTTAAAAAAAAAAAAACTTCTATGAGCAGGTCCCACTCGGTATTCACATGAGTGCAGATCACTGCAACAATTTTGTACGACTATTTCAGAATAACGTTCGTGTAAGCATTTTTAAGAGATTAAGTTCCACTAACATTCACTCTCAGATAGTGTGTTGGATTAATTTGTGTGACCTTGCTAATTTGTGAGTATGGCACCTCATGGAGGCGGAAGGCACAATGTCTGAGTGATCAAGCTGAGTAGGAACACACTCATTTTGCCTAATTTCTGATTTTCATATTATGCTCACAGTTTCTTCTTGTGAGGTGCTCACTCTTCTCAATATTATGGAAAGAATCCAATCCTACGTTTGAACATTCCTCAACACATGTTCTTGGGATTTCTTGATGATGTTCTCGTTTCCTTAATCCTGGCTGTGGCCTCGGATAGGGCACACGGAGAGAACATCACAGCAGTATTACTAGACTATCCATTCACTGTAACATGGAAGGTGGCACAAATGCAGGCAAACAACAACAACCACAACAAACAACCACAACATGCAACCACAACAAACATCTGCAAAAAACAACCACAGCAAACAATCACAATGCGTAACCACACCAACCACAACCTTAATCATAGCAGACAAGCACAATGCGTAACCACACCAACCACGACCTTAATCATAGCAGACAAGCACAATGCGTAACCACACCAACCACAACCTTAATCATAGCAGACAAGCACAACAAACTAACGAAACTGGAATCAGTGAGTGAAGTGGAAAACAAAGATAAACAGAATACAAGGTGAGCTAACTGCATTAGCAAAAAGTAGGAGGACTTGAGAAGAGAGCTGGAGAATGAAGTTAGAAAGATGGGGAGGACATGGGGAGAGCTCCATGCAATGGCGAAGGATATAACGACTTGGCAAGAGTTGGTTGAAGGCCTATGCTCAATTGGGGGATAGAAAGGCAAAAGAAGAAGAAGGAGGACTTGGCATGAACTGACTAGAGGCCTATGCTTTACTGGGGACAAAAGGGCAGGCAAAGAAGATAAAAAGAGCAGGAGTAGAAGAAGATGATGACGATGATGATGGAAAATACATTTGAGTATCCTAATGGCAGCTGCCAAATAACATGACCAAGAAAAGCCGGATATTTCAAGAAAGAAAAAAAGAAAGAAAGAAAGAAAGAAAGAAAGAAAGAAAGAAAGAAAGAAAGAAAGAAAGAAAGAAAGAAAGAAAGAAAGAAAGAAAGAAAGAAAGAAAGAAAGAAAGAAAGAAAGAAAGAAAGAAAGAAAGAAAGAAAGAAAGAAAGAAAGAAAGAAAGAAAGAAAGAAAGAAAGAAAGAAAGAAAGAAAGAAAGAAAGCTAGTATCTTCTATTGACACTGTAAACAGAATACTAACCAAGCGCTGTATGTGTCAAACGTTGTTCCCAGATGTCATCGCCTGTGTAGATCCCAGCAAGTGCCAGCAGTACTGCGAGACTTCTGTCGGCTGCTCCAACGTGGCCTATCCCAAACTTGTGCTAGAACTGATGCCAGTTGGTAAATGAGCCCATTATGTTCTTCATTACCTCATTACTTCATTCAGTTATGGAGTTTTCACAGCTGACTCGGGAGCATGTAGCATATTATAGATACCTTTACACTAAACACAGTCTGAGCAAATGTTGTGTGCAAACGGATAAGAGAACGATTTAAAAGCCAGGACCGAGATCACTAAATAATGGTTCATTAGTACAGCAGCACTTTAACTGATCGTTAGCACAGGGCAGTATATGTGTATACACACCCAACACACCCACACATACACACACACATATATATATATACACACATACATTTATATACAGTCTGTTCTTGCATATTATGCAATTTGTGTACCTCTGTCTTCATACATATAAGGATAAGCATGTCTAAGGGGAATACAAATCGTGTTTAAGTTCGTAAGTGTACAGGGATGTGTTGATACACGTGATCTACCTAATAAAAGTTAAGCTGGAGACAATACTAACCAACTATTGGGGTATTAGATTCATCTGATTTTAGTTCAGGCCCCTAAGCAAACTTCTACCCGCAAACCAGAAAAGGCACTGGATATCCGTTGAAAGAAGGCAACAAAAACAAACAGCTATACTATTATTAATGATAAAAATACAGCACTTGTGATAAACCATTTCTTGTGCAAGAAAGCACACTGCCTGAGTATACAAAGAAGTGTCGAGAGCAACGACAAAAACAACAAAAATAAGATGACCGATGTCATTCTCTAACTGGTGCTGATTGGAGGCTGTTGGAATTATCGATGAGGAAACGTGTTAAAATGATGTCTTAGAGCCTTTGTCGTTTCACGCATGTGGAACATGTACATCAAAGTAAAAGAGCAGAGAAACATCAGACGGCAGTTTCAATATGGTTTTGTTGACATTTCAAAGACCAGTAGGAATCCACGGAAGAAATCATCCAAGAAACGGCAGTGCGTTCCAGAGTCGGACTTGGGGATGTGGGGCGAAAATAGGGGACTTTGGGGGGGGGGGGGGGGGGGGGGGCTGAAAGTGGATACTGGGCCAAAAGGCAGTTTTGGATATAAAAGTAAAAGTAAAGATCCCTTTACACGCCCTTTGATCAAGGGAAGACCCATAGTTTACAGATCCAATCGAAACTCGGTGGATACTGTGGGTCAGCATTACGCAGTCTTTGGATATACACTAAGAAAATGCAACAAAACCAATAGCTGTATTCGTTTAAATACACAATACTTTATTCGCAATACACCAAGAAATAACGCATTAAAAAAAAAAAAAAAACACTATCAGTATACGGAAAGCACAATGACAAAAGGAACAAGATATAATTCTCCAACAGATTCATTGTACTGCTTGTCTAACAAAAACTTATTGGAATATAAGATGAACAATAGTATTTTGAGAGAAAACCGCCCATCTTTTCAAAGCTTCCATAACAAGACCATGTTTTTTAGTCGGAGTCAAAAATTAGCACAGGGACGATAACATTTTGTGGCTGACTGGCCAAGCCGCACTCAGGTGGCTAAAGAGACGCATGCGGCTCGCGAGGCGAGATCTGCCGACCACTGCACTAGATGATTGTGGCTGGTTGACATCTATGTAAATACTGAGGTATGGGCAAGAGGCTTCAATACGTCGCTTGGCCTGTGCTGGTTTATTCTTAGTGTTACTTATCACTTGCGATTTATTCCGGAAGTTGTTGTTCGTCCATCACGAGTAATGAAGACCACTTTCATCCAAAGTAGTAATGACTAATGATTATGAGTACGAAGGTGGATGATTAGTCCAGTATGAGCCTGAAAATGTATGTGGACAACAGATGGAAGCCGCAATAAGTGTGGGATTAGCAGTAGGGTTCTTTCTAGTTTATCTCCGTCTCTGTGCCTGTGCAAAATCCGCTGCCTGAGGGACGTACCCCATCCAGAACAGTCTTGTGCAGCAGCCTCCCACATCACTGTGTTGATGCAAAAAGAATTGAGAGTGTCCTTGTAGTACTTTTTCTGTCCTCCCTGGGACCTCTTCCCTTGCTGGAGCTCACCATAAAATACTTTCTTTGGGAGGCTATATTCTGGCATGCAGGTTAGGTGACTAGCCCAACGCAGCTGGCAATTTTTCAGTGTCGTATGCATGCTAGGCTGGTTTCCCCTTTTAAGAACCACAGTATTTGGGATCATGCCATTTGGTTTTGAGCAGCTTTCTGAGACAGGTTATATGAAACTGATTCAACTTGTTACCATGGCGCTGATACACTGTTCACATTTCGCAAGTGTAGAGCAGCACTGGAAGAATTACAGCTTTGTAGACCTTAAGCTTGGTCAGCAGGGAGATACCACTTCTGTTCCAGACGCTGGTATAAAGTCTGCTGCAACTGCTGCTGGCCTTTGAGATTCTAGCATTGATCTCATCGTCGATGTTGACTGTTTGAGATAGGGTACTTTAAAGATAAGTGAATCTTTAGACTACATTTAGCTTTCGATCATATACGGTGATAGTGAGATCATAAGTAGTTTTTTTTCTAGGTGCCGGATGATAGATAACACAAGTTTTATCAGTGTTGATAGCCTAAAGTTGTTACAGGCTCTCAGAAAATCTATTGATGATGTCTGCATACTGGCCTCAGAACTGGAGTTTACAGAACAGTCGTCAGCAAATAAAAAGTCTCTAATTAAAATTGTTTTAGTTTAGTTTTTGTTTTAGTTCGAGGATTCTTAAAATTAAACAAGCTGCCATCTGTACGGTATTTTAATTTAAATGGAAACTAGTGCTGACCTGGGAGACCTTGGTTCATCGGCTTGATTCTTAATTGTGGATCTGAAGGTTATGGGATCAAATCCGAACGGAGCTGAACTTTTTCAAAAACTACATTGGCTCCCAGGTGGATCCAACGTTTACATGGCATAAGGAAACTCCTGGGAAGTATAGGCGGCCGGTTGATGGCATTTCCCACCGAGTGCCGACTAGTCTATACAGTGTAGCTCTAGCAATGTATGCTCAATATGCTTGAAGTCATGGACGAGTGTCCTTTACTTCCTTAACTTGTTGTTTCCTGCTGACATAGTCGGTGGTTCACTAACCCACGGTATCTTTATTTCATGTCACTGTTCTGCAACGCGTCTGCTCTTTTTTTTTTTTTTGGGGGAAGATCGTCGCTAAAAGTGTACCCTTGCAGATGTCCCTATTAGTTAATACATTTAGACCATTGGTAATTTGATGTTTAAAAGAATAACTTGTTTGTTTAATTCAAAATCAAGGCCTCCGCGGTCTTCTAATGGCTGTCATGTTGTCCGCCATCATGTCGTCTCTGACCTCCATCTTCAACTCGTCTGCCACGCTGTTTACTATGGATTTGTGGAGGAGGATTCGAACCAGGGCCACGGAGAGAGAACTGCTGATTGTTGGAAGGTTAGCTGCGGCCATGTTCAATACACTCTCCTTAAAAGTGTTTTTCCCTTGACCTCTGTCAATGTAAAGTCCGCATTCTTCTGACCAGCTGGCTTGTCTCAGGCCCAGTCCCTGTCTGATGTCTTGTGTTTGGCCAACGGAAATAAAATGCATGGGCTCGTAACCTGGCATGGGGAGGATTACATTGTTTCTACGTGTTATCCGAAGTATTAACATTGTCCTCTACGTGTTATCTAACATTGGCATGGGAACATTGACAACAACGATGTCTCTACGTGTTTTCTACTGGGCAATGGGAGGATGATCACATTGTCTCTACGTGTTGTCTAACATGAGCATGGGAGGATGATCACATTGACTCTTCGTGTTATCTAACATGGGTATGGGAGGATGATCACATTGTCTCTACGTGTTGTCTAACATGGGCATGGGAGAATGGTCACATTGACTCTACGTGTTGTCTAACATCGGCGTGGGAGGATGATCACATTGATTCTACGTGTTATCTAACATGGGCGTGGGAGGATGATCACATTGTCTCTACGTGTTGTCTAACATGGGCATGGGAGGATGATCACATTGATTCTACGTGTTATCTAACATGGCCATGGGAGGATGATCACATTGTCTCTACGTGTTGTCTAACATAGGCATGGGAGAATGATCACATTGACACTACGTGTTGTCTAACATGGGCATGGGAGGATGATCACATTGACTCCACGTGTTTATCTAATATGGCATGAGAGGATGATCACATTGACTCTACGTGTTGTCTAACATGGCCATAGGAGGGTGATCACATTGACTCTACGTGTTGTCTAACATAGGCATGGGGGAATGATCACATTGACACTACGTGTTGTCTAACATGGGCATGGGAGGATGATCACATTGACTCTACGTGTTGTCTAAAATGGGTTTGGGAGAATGATCGCATTGACTCTACGTGTTATCTAACATGGGCATGGGAGGATGATCACATTGACTGTACGTGTTGTCTAACATGGCAATGGGAGGATGATCACATTGACTGTACGTGTTGTCTAACATGGCCATGGAAGGATGATCACATTGACTCTACGTGTTGTCTAACATAGGCATTGGAATATGGTCACATTGACTCTACGTGCTGTCTAACATGGCCATGGGAGGATGGTCACATTGTCTCTACGTGGTATCTAACATGGGCATGGGAGGATGATCACATTGACTCTACGTGTTGTCTAACATGGCAATGGGAGGATGATCACATTGACTCTACGTGTTGTCTAACATGGCCATGGGAGGATGATCACATTGTCTCTACGTGTTGTCTAACATAGGCATGGGAGAATGGTCACATTGACTCTACGTGTTGTCTAACATAGGCATGGGAGAATGGTCACATTGTCTCTACGTGTTGTCTAACATGGGCATGGGAGGATGGTCACATTGACTCTACGTGTTGTCTAACATAGGCATGGGAGAATGGTCACATTGTCTCTACGTGTTGTCTAACATGGCCATGGGAGGATGATCACATTGACTCTACGTGTTGTCTTACATGGCCATGGGAGGATGATCACATTGACTCTACGTGTTGTCTAACATAGGCATGGGGGAATGATCACATTGACACTACGTGTTGTCTAACATGGGCATGGGAGGATGATCACATTGACTCCACGTGTTATCTAATATGGGCATGGGAGGATGATCACATTGACTCTACGTGTTGTCTAACATGGCCATAGGAGGATGATCACATTGACTCTACGTGTTGTCTAACATAGGCATGGGGGAATGATCACATTGACACTACGTGTTGTCTAACATGGGCATGGGAGGATGATCACATTGACTCTACGTGTTGTCTAAAATGGGTTTGGGAGAATGATCGCATTGACTCTACGTGTTATCTAACATGGGCATGGGAGGATGATCACATTGACTGTACGTGTTGTCTAACATGGCCATGGGAGGATGATCACATTGACTCTACGTGTTGTCTAACATAGGCATTTGAATATGGTCACATTGACTCTACGTGCTGTCTAACATGGCCATGGGAGGATGGTCACATTGTCTCTACGTGGTATCTAACATGGGCATGGGAGGATGATCACATTGACTCTACGTGTTGTCTGACATGGCAATGGGAGGATGATCACATTGACTCTACGTGTTGTCTAACGTGGTCATGGAAGGATGATCCCATTGTCTCTACGTGTTATCTAACATAGGCATGGGAATATGGTCACATTGTCTCTACGTGTTATCTAACATAGGCATGGGAGGATGGTCACATTGACTTTACGTGTTATCTAACAAGGGCATGGGAGGATGATCACATTGACTCTACGTGTTGTCTAACATGGGCATGGGATGATGATCACATTGACTCTACGTGTTATCTAACATAGGCATGGGAGGATGATCACATTGACTCTACGTGTTGTCTAACATGGGCATGGGAGGATGATCACATTGACTCTACGTGTTGTCTAACATAGGCATGGGAGTATGATCACATTGTCTCTACGTGTTATCTAACAAGGGCATAGGAGGATGATCACATTGACTCTACGTGTTGTCTAACATGGGCATGGGAGGATGATCACATTGACTCTACGTGTTATCTAACATAGGCATGGGAGGATGATCACATTGACTCTACGTGTTGTCTAACATGGGCATGGGATGATGATTACATTGACTCTACGTGTTGTCTAACATGGGCATGGGATGATGGTCACATTGACTCTACGTGTTGTCTAACATGGGCATGTGAGGATGGTCATATTGACTCTACGTGTTGTCTAACATGGGCATGTGAGGATGGTCATATTGACTCTACGTGTTGTCTAACATGGGCATGGGAGGATGATCACACTGTTTCCACGTGTTTTCTAACATTAACATGGGGGGATCATCACATTGTCTCTACGTGTTGTCTAACTGGGGGAGGGGAATAAGAGGTTGATCTAATTTATTTAGCATGCTATCTAAGGTGGGGATGGGAGGTAATCTCATTGATGCTACACGTTGTATAAAGTGGGTGATGGGAGTTAGATCTTATTGATTTAACATGTTATCTAACGTAGGGATTGGTTGGAGGATGTTCTTATTGAATCTACACGCTGCCTAACGTGGGGGATGCGAAGCATATCTCATTGACTCTACAAGGATTTTAACATGGGAATAGGAGAACGATCAGGTTGACTCTACATTCTGTCTAATGTGAAGATGGGAGGATGCTGATATTGACTCTAAGTGATGTCTAACGTGAAGACATGTGTCTGAGGCAAAAAGGTAATAAGGTAACAATTCAACAAATCTCACCTCATGATAACCCAAATTCACTCTGTGACCTTACACTCTAGATACAGTATCTTTGTACCTTTAACAGGTTGTTCATTTTGCTGATGTGTGGAGTCGCCATCTTGTGGATCCCTCTGGTGCGTTCTTCCCAAGGGGGACAACTGTTTAATTACATCCAGGCGGTGCAAGGCTACCTCGGTACCCCAATAGGAGCCATATTTATCCTGGCCATTTTGTGGAAGAGGATGAATGAAAAAGTAAGTTCCCACTCACTCATTCTAGATAGTTTTTTTTTTTTTTTTTTAAGATACTTAAAGTTTCGTGTCGTCCGTGGCTAAGGCGTTGCGACTCTGACTGGTAATCCAACGTACCGCGATCGAAACCCACTGGATTTTATCGTGGTATGGGACGTCGCAGGTTGACCCAGCCTCAAATGGGTACCAGGATGTCTGTCTTGGAAAAGTAAAGACGGCCGGCGTAATGCTGACCACATTATCCACCGAGTAGCGATTTATAAAAAAATATGGGTGCTCTTCCCATATGCCGATGCACCTAAGGGCGTGTTAAGGGATTTTTACTTTACTTTAAGCCTAAAAGCTTCAAGGAACATTCCACAGACAACATGTATTTTGTCGAAAAATGTATAAAACAGTGACGTCTTTGTCTAGATAGAACAGTTTACAGATAACAGGTATTTTGTAAAACATTAACACAGCTTGTCTTTATTCATTCTCGATAGAGTATTTTATTGTCAACACGTCAATACAAACGTTGTAGAATAATCAAATATAATCACATCTTGAAAAAAATTATGTAACAGTGACACATCCTTGTTTCTTCTTCTTCTTCTCCTCTTCCTCCTTCTCATCCTCCTCTGTTCTTTTTTTTTTTTTTTTTAAGTCCGTGCCGTGTCGCTTTGCTTATCTTGTTTATCTACTGCCTATTGTCTCCTACTGCAAAAAAATATTTTACATTTTTCTGTGCTGTAATGCCAAACTGTCTGACATCCTGCCTCCCTGCCACTCCTCTCTCGCTGCCTCTATTCTCTGTCTCTTTCCTCCTCTAACTTTCCTAGTGTCAGACCTATTTAGAGGCTTGGCTTCTCGTGACAATGCAGATTGTCTCATACTAGTCTTGGCTGTCAGTTCTCTTCGGTGTGTCAGATATTGCAGATTGTTTTCTATTGGCGCTGACTGTTAGTTCTCTTGGGCGTGTCAGACAATGCAGATTGTTTTCTACTGGTCCTGACTGTTAGTTCTCTTGGGCGTGTCAGACAATGCAGATTGTTTTCTACTGGTCCTGACTGTTAGTTCTCTTAGGCATGTCAGACAATGCAGATTGTTTTCTACTGGTCCTGACTGTTAGTTCTCTTAGGCATGTCAGACAATGCAGATTGTCTTCTATTGGTCCTGACTGTTAGTTCTCTTAGGCGTGTCAGACAATGCAGATTGTCTCCTACCCGTCCTGACTGTTAGTTCTCTTAGGCGTGTCAGACAATGCAGATTGTCTCCTACCCGTCCTGACTGTTAGTTCTCTTGGGCGTGTCCGATAATGCAGATTGTCTCCTACCCGTCCTGACTGTTAGTTCTCTTGGGCGTGTCAGACAATGCAGATTGTCTTCTACTGGTCCTGACTGTTAGTTCTCTTGGGCGTGTCAGATAATGCAGATTGTCTCCTGCTGGTCTTGACTGTTAGTTCTCTTGGGCGTGTCAGATAATGCAGATTGTCTCCTGCTGGTCTTGACTGTTAGTTCTCTTGAGCATGTCAGATAATGCAGATTGTTTTCTACTGGTCTTGACTGTTAGTTCTCTTGAGCGTGTCAGACAATGCAGATTGTCTCCTACTGGTCTCGACTGTTAGTTCTCTTGGGCGTGTCAGATAATGCAGATTGTCTCCTACTGGTCTCGACTGTTAGTTCTCTTGGGCGTGTCAGATAATGCAGATTGTCTCCTGCTGGTCTTGACTGTTAGTTCTCTTGAGCATGTCAGATAATGCAGATTGTCTTCTACTGGTCCTGACTGTTAGTTCTCTTGGGCATGTCAGACAATGCAGATTGTCTCCTACTGGTCCTGACTGTTAGTTCTCTTGGGCGTGTCAGATAATGCAGATTGTCTTCTACTGGTCCTGACTGTTAGTTCTCTTGGGCATGTCAGACAATGCAGATTGTCTCATGCTGACTGTTAGTTCTCTTGGGCATGTCAGACACTGCAGATTGTCTCCTACCCGTCCTGACTGTTAGTTCTCTTAGGCGTGCCAGACAATGCAGATTGTCTCATGCTGACTGTTAGTTCTCTTGGGCATGTCAGACACTGCAGATTGTCTCCTACCCGTCCTGACTGTTAGTTCTCTTGGGCGTGTCAGATAATGCAGATTGTCTCCTACTGGTCTTGACTGTTAGTTCTCTCGAGCGTGTCAGATAATGCAGATTGTCTCCTACCCGTCCTGACTGTTAGTTCTCTTAGGCGTGTCAGACACTGCAGAATGTCTCCTACTGGTCTTAACTGTTAGTTCTCTTGGGCGTGTCAGACACTGCAGATTGTCTTCTGCTGGTCTTGACTGTTAGTTCTCTTGGGCGTGTCAGATAATGCAGATTGTCTCCTACTGATCTTGACTGTTAGTTCTCTTGGGCGTGTCAGACAATGCAGATTGTCTCATGCTGACTGTTAGTTCTCTTGGGCGTGCCAGACAATGCATATTGTCTCCTGCTGCTGCAGGCTGTTAGTTCTCTTCATGGGATTAATTCTTTCTGAACATCTTCATTACGATTTCTTATACTTTCATTGAATTTTCATCTTTCTTTTATGTAGCTACATAATAAAGCTTTGACTTAACTAATCGCTAGTTTGCTCTGCCCATGATTCACTTCCATATAGGCGTCAGAACTTCAAAAACGGAAGTAAAAAGTATAGGATATCTGACATGTAGATGGGAATGGACGTGCACATAATGCACTAATGTACAATGCACACAAATTAACGCAATAATTTATACATACACTTCCGTTAAATAAACATGCTGCTTTGATATAGTCTTTATATTATAAAGGGTGGCTCCAAACATTGGATATGACCTCGGCTTTGGGCATGACCCCAGACGATGGAGACCTTTTGTGTCTATTGATATGTCCACGTACTGTTGACTTAACTAGACACCCTTACAGGTAAAGGCAGTCCGCGCAAACACTTCAGCTGTGAAAAGGAAGAGGACAGATTTTACAGATAATGGGTGGCTGTGGCAGAAAGTTCCCTCCGATACTTTCGTCATTGAACTTCTAAAAGTAAATTTATTTGAATCTCTCTCACCCTCTATCCTTCTCTCGGTCTCTCTTTCTCTCTCTCTGACACTCATTTTCTCTCTATGTCTTTCTCCCTCGTCCTATTGATTCTCACTTTTAGTCTGTGCCTTATATTTCTGACATATTCTTACTCCTCGCTTCTCTCTATCTCTCTCTCTCTCTCTCTTTCTCTCTCGTTCCTCTCTTGATATCACCCGTCGCGTGAGCGGCGTGGGGAATACGCTCGGCGGTGGCGGAAGTCGCCGGAAAACCGCAAAGTAAGTCGCCGGAAGTTAGCAATTGACACGTGACTGAGGCTCTGTTAGCGTGTTTTTGCGGCCGCCATCTTTTGTGCCCTTTATTTAGAGGATAGCCCATAATTCTAAAGAATAAGGGGAAACAAAACTCATCTGTTTAACTCCAATTTCAACTTCAAACCAATCACTTAAACCTTCATCTGTTTGCACAGTTGACTAAACCCTCAAACATTGCCTTAATAATATATTATATTGTCACTGGTATACCATGGGAGTGGCTAAGGAAGAGGCTAGACGCTCGACGCAGATCGGAAGGTCGTGGGTTCGATCCCTGGCGGAGCCGCACTTTTTTTTATGACCTTGGCTCCTAGGTCGACCCAGCCTTGAGTGGGTACCGGGTGTAGTCCCGGAAAGTAGAGAGACCGGCGTGATGCCGACCACATCACTTATCTTGTGCCCATTGGACTATAAAATTTAGGTCTAGCCCTACATGCCTTATACGCCCAAAAGCGTGGAAAAGGGTCCTTTACTTTCACTGGTATACCATATCATTCCGAGATTCCACACAGTGTTGTTCATACGAGACACAGTCGACACAGAACCAATTCTAAATTACATACAGAGACAGCAAATCGAATGGTTTGCTTACTTGGAGAGACTGCCTTCTGATGAAATACCATACAAGACATATATGAAACGAAGAAAAGGATCTAGGGCAAGAGGGAGACCAAGAACAACATGGAAAGATGACAACAGAGAAACTCTACAGCATTACAATGTGTCTATGGTCGAAGCAGCCAGAAGAGCACGAAGCAGGACCTTATATTTTCCTCGACACCCGAAGCGGTAAAAGAGGACGTAAAGAAGAAGAAGTGGATGTTTTGTGTAAACCTTCTTAAAGGCCATGAAATTCAAAATAAGTAGTTGTTGTTTTCAATAAATTCCTTTGAAAAAAATGTCTATACATTACTGCTTCCCAATGTCAAGGAAGAATAAAGATTAGTTTATGAGGAAAAGGAGGCGAGACAGGAAACTAACCATTCACGCCTTTTAAGTGTCAGGATCTGAAAATATTAGGGCCTAACTATTGACACTCAAACGACAGGAACTATATTGTCACAGACCTCTGGTATGACCTTGCTGGTCCGTGGCTCGTAAATGGGCCTATGACAGACAGACCAACCTTTAACACACACTGAACCCGAACGCACACAGAGCACACACGACAATCTTTATTGGAAGTACAGGTAATACATAGACAGTTGACTTCCCGCTGTGTGGCCACCTATTGCCTGGACCCTCTGGCTGAACGGGCTTTACAATCGCCTCGTCTCCCAGTACGTGCTACATGCAACCTCCTGGTGTACAAACCACAGCCCGGCGAGATACGTTCTTTTCTATCGCCACACTGACCCAATCAAACTGTCACAGTCTCTGTCTTAGTGCAGGGTCAGAGTGTCCAGGTTAGCCACTCTCTCACATAACAGAAATATATCCTAACTTTAATACTATAACTGTCTTGCTACACGTCCTCTCTTCCTGACCGACGCACACCGAATGTCCTGTTCTCTCTCCCTCCTGTCTCTTGACCCCGTTCCCCAGCTCAGTCCCAAAAGCCGTAATCGTGTTGCGGACTTGTCCACAACACGGTTCACTCTTTCTTGCTTTATCCTGAGCGCTGGTTTCGCTGTGCAATCACAGAACGGACTTGCCCAGTCACGGCCCTGACCTTTGTGTCAACCCTGGGGTGTCACCTCAACACGCACACCTTACGGTGTGGTACATTCCGCCACTGACTGTACTCACAGGGTTGTGACATATATAGGTGACTGCTGTACATTTACGTTTTGTCACTTAGGGTGCTTTCTATGGTCTGCTGGCTGGTCATGTCTGTGGAATCGTCAGAATGGCTCTAGACTTCGCGTATCCAGCGCCGGGATGCGGTAAGTCAAACCCTGTGCCATCAGTGCTGACATCACAGGAAAACAACATTAACGTATCTGCTTCTTGTCCTTTCTCGTCCCACTAGTGGCTCTGTAAGTCGGTAGATGTTAATCTTTCAGTATGTAATCAGCTAGACAAAACAAGAGGTGGAGGTTACACCTTACGTGTAATTAGTATCAATACTGTTTTGGTGTTGGCTCTGTGGCTAAGTCGATGCGAACGCTTCGTAATGCCGGGATGCCGAGTTCGATCCCAGCTGCAGGCCATGCGCCTTGGGTTGGTTTCGACAGTGGTATCAAGAAAGCCGACCGTCCAGTAGCAATGGCAAACTACTGGACGTAAATTTGCCTAGAAAAACCACACAACGTCCTGTAAAGGATACGCAACTAACCAACTGTTTTGGTGTCAATGACATAATGTATCACTAAGTATGTTTTTAAATGAACCTAAATTTTCACCATTATTAATAAACGTTGGCCGCAGACCAGTGGACATGGGCACCTAGATTTTTGTTAGCTTAATCATGGAGCGGTGCAGGGTTATGTATTTTTTTGTTCCTTTCACAATATTGAATTATGTATAGTGAACATATCAAGGATAACAATCAAACTGGTAGAAATCCACGCTCAGCTGCACATATTTTAAAACCTCTGAAAGGTGTAACTTTGTGACATCGCATTTAATCAAATCCCTCCTCACTACCTTCGTTTGTGTTTAAGTTTGTGGTTGCCTGTCAGGTGGGTCGTGAAACAAGTCCCCCTGTTTATGTTTGTGGTTGCCTGTCGGGTTGGTCGTGAAACAAGTCCCCCTGTTATGTTTGTGCTTGCCTGTCAGGTTTGAGTGTTTCGTGCTTGCCTGTTAGGTTGGTCGCCCTGTTATGTTTGTGCTTGCCTGTCAGGTTGGTCGTGAAACAAGTCGCCCTGTTATGTTTGTGCTTGCCTGTCAGGTTGGTCGTGAAACAAGTCGCCCTGTTGTGATTGTGCTTGCCTGTTAGGTTGGTCGTGAAACAAGTCGCCCTGTTATGTTTGTGCTTGCCTGTTAGGTTGGTCGTGAAACAAGTCGCCCTGTTATGTTTGTGCTTGCCTGTCAGGTTGGTCGTGAAACAAGTCGCCCTGTTATGTTTGTGCTTGCCTGTCAGGTTGATCGTGAAACAAGTCGCCCTGTTATGTTTGTGCTTGCCTGTCAGGTTGGTCGTGAAACAAGTCGCCCTGTTTATGTGCGTTCCTCAGACAGAAGTAACTGTATTATCGAAGAAATAATTGTACCTAAACCAGTAATCGGTGTTATTTAAAACAAGTGTTAAAATTCAAGTATCTAGGCACAAAGATAACATCAGCTTGCAGATGTATCATAAAGAACATTTTTTGTAAAAGAAATAAAAGAAACAACTGCATAAAAAAAAGTAAAAAAAAAAAAAATAATTCTATAAAGTGAAGAAATTCTTATAAAATAAATCTGTATCATTGGAGGCTGAAAAAAAATAACATTTCTCACAAGCCAGTTAAACCACCCTGAACAATTTCTGAAGGCCCCAGTGAAGTAGTTTTACAGTAGAATACTTACAATTCCTTGAACAGTCAAAAAGAGCAACCCAGATGTTTGAAAAAAAAAAGCGGTGGTCCGATAAAATAATTTATCATAAACATCAACAGAGACAGTAATCATGTTTTTTGGATGATGTTATCAGAAGAACGAGACTGGAACTTGTGGCGACTGGAAAGATCTGCTGGGGAGGAGGAGGGGGGAGAGAACAAACCGAGAATATTATTGAAAGCCTTTTGTCGTGGCATTGAGGAGAGTCAGCACATACAATGATACATGCTCTTGAAGATCTCAGATTGTGGAAAGGTTTGATCGGCCACGCCAGTTAGCAAGGCACTTGATGACGATGATGGTGATGATTATAACATGTTTAGGTCGCTGTTTACATTGATATAGTCAGTCTATCATCTATGCTGAAATGGTACGTCAGTCTATCATCTGTGCTGAATTGGTACGTCAATCTATCATCTGTGCTGAAATGGTACGTCAGTCTATCATCTGTGCTGAAATGGTACGTCAGTTCATCATCGGTGCTGAAATGGTACGTCAGTCTATCATCTATGCTGAAATGGTACGTCAGTCTATCATCTATGCTGAAATGGTACGTCAGTCTATCATCTGTGCTGAAATGGTACGTCAGTCTATCATCTATGCTGAAATGGTACGTCAGTCTATCATCTATGCTGAAATGGTACGTCAGTTCATCATCGGTGCTGAAATGGTCAGTCCAGCATGCTGAATGTTGAATGTTGAATTAGGAATCGAAATCACAGCACTCGGGACACTCCCATAAATGCTCAGTCTCCATCTTCAGCGGCAAGCAAAGAGTTCCGATTTCCATGGTACCAGTAACTCTCTGATTGTATATCCGTCTCATCCTTCCCCTGAGTGTTGAGCATTGACCAGATCCCCGGCAACTCATCGCAACACCATTCTCCTCAGACCGTAATGATCTATCTGCGCCTTTGCACTGTTCACTAGCTCCCAAAGGGCCCGCACAATATCTAACTTGTCATACATCAATTCAGCACCAATTGGTGCAAAGCCAGCCAGTCTATCTTTTAGCTCATTTCCCAACACACCGGCATGACAAGGTGTGTCGGTCTAGCAACGATGTTGAAATGATCAGTCTACCATCTTGCTGAGTTATCCATCATCTATGTAGAAGTAGTTTTAACAGTAGACTGTGGCTTTAGTCAATGAGTCTTATTCACGTGGATACATCCACCCGTGTTCTAGCCTACTAGCACATGTCGCACAATGTACGAACCGTATAGCACTGGCGAGAGCCCAACTGTATAGTGAGGCAAAGAGAAGCGTGACTAAAAATATGAGCATCAAGGCTAACGGATGATGAGGATGATGGTGATGACAATTGTGATCTTCAATACTGTGAAACTTAAACTGTGCAATAACCTATTCCAGATACTCTTCTTGGTGCTAATGCTAAATTATGTTAACATGTGCGCGTCGTTCTAAACGTCATATCCTCTACATTTTACTCAGGGTTTTCGTCTTTTTATAAATTTTATTTTAATCAATTATTAAAATTGGCCAGACCATGAAATAAGCAAGTCTTCTGGCCCGGAATCGGGTGTCAAAAACTCTAAGCCAATCCAAAAATTAGGTTAATCAAACTGCGAGTCGGCACATGTCATCTGACCAACTGGCAGTACATCGTGTTTCAATCTAACACATCTGTTGTTTCCAGACGAGGCTGACACTCGACCCAGGATCCTCAGCGCCGTTCACTACACCTACTTCGGAAGTCTGAGCCTGGCAGTGACTACTCTAACTATCGTAGTGTTCTCACTGGCTACCCGTAGACAGGAGGAGGATCAGGTTTTTACTGTTTGTGTCTTCTCAATGTGAACTGTGTCAGTAATGTGTAGCACCCACTGTATGTCATTGACAAATAGACTAGATATGGGTCTCATAATTATACAGAACAGTCTTCATTACACTGTTCACTTGGTGGCTGATGGGCTTCATGCCACACCAGCACATGTACTCCTAACCATTTAATCTTCGGGGTCTCCCCGTGTGGGTTCCGTGGCCCCAGTTTAGGGGAGCAGAAACAGAGTCACTGTCTCATAAGCATGTGGTCGAAGTCGACTCTTTAGAGCTGTTTCTTTGCAGTGCATCTGCCTGAGGTTCGATGCTCCAAAGATTTGCTTACAAATAAGCCAGGTCTGTAAAACGGATGTGCACGCAAAACGCAAGTTCTGGAATAAGATTCAAGTCCAGAGGTCCAGAACGCCCTCCCGGAGTCTACAGCCGGTGAGCGCCAAGAAGAGGAAGAAGAGAAGAAGTGCAAACTTGTACCCAGAAACAGTCGTTTAGCTCCTGCCTCAGGCATATGATGCTAGACCCAGTGGACACTGGATGAGTGATATGTAGAAATTCTGACCACCTGCCGTTACTTCCCATGACATTATCTGGCCACCTGCCGTTATTTCCCACGACAATATCTTACCACCTGCCGTTATCTCCCAGGACAATATCTGGCCACCTGCCGTTACTTCCAAGGACAATATCTGACCACCTGCCGTTACTTCCAAGGACAATATCTGACCACCTGCCGTTACTTCCAAGGACAATATCTTGCCACCAGCCGTTACTTCCCAGGACAATATCTGACCACCTGCCGTTACTTCCCAGGATAATATCTGGCCACCTACCATTACTTCCCAGGACAATATTTGGCCACCTGCCGGTACTTCCCAGGACAATATCTGGCCACCTGCCGTTACTTTCTAGGACAATATCTGACCACCTGCCGTTACTTCCAAGAACAATATTTGACCACCTGCCGTTACTTCCAAGGACAATATCTGACCACCTGCCGTTACTTCCCAGGACAATATCTGGACACCTGCCGTTACTTCCCATGACAATATCTGGCCATCTACCTTTACTTCCCTGGTGGCGGGTCAGTGACGGAGGTAACGCTCTTCTTATAATCTATCCATCTGCGGTCTTCTCACTGGCATTCTGTTGTTTTTATGACTGTTTTTCCAAATTCAGAAAATACAGGGTCTCCATGGCAGTTATTCTCCTCCCGTTTCTCAATGTTGTGGGTTCGGTTTTCAGACTTCCGCTCTCTTCGGTTCAACAGCGAATGTACTTTGAAACCCCGGGGTGGTCGCTGGAGATGCAGCAGAATGTTATGTTTTGTGCAACAAGCTTGACGGGCAAACCTTATTTTGCGGAGTAGACACTGAGCCAGTAAACCCAGTACAGATAAAATCAGTTATCTCGTTTAAATAAAAAAATAAAAAAAAAAGATCTTCCAAATACCTAGCACATAATTCTAGAACTCACAACTAATAAATGTCTGCCTCACATAGTTAACCGATTTAAACGATCTGCCAACCTGCAGCAAAGCCCTGTTTCCGGTCTTTCTTTCATCTGGTTTGTCA